GAAATATAAAATGTTTTGTGTATGAGTATTAACAAATATGTATAACACAGCAGTTATTTTTCAGATAAGTAAAATGTCGATTTACTTTTCCTAAGGTCAGGCCTAGGGCTGGGCGATAAAACGATAAGTATCGCAATATAACTTTTCCTCGATAGAGCGATAAGACAGGTTCGATAAATTTTCGATATAATACACCATTCTCACACTTCCACATTCAGCGAAAGCCCTGGTGGCGTTTTCTACTGCAAGGAAAGCGACACTACTTTGCTGTCGCCAGGAGAGGGCGCACTTCTGAGTTTTTCGACTTGATTAGAGAGGGAGGGGGCCATGAGTAAAAAAAGGGTCACCAAATATACTTTAGCAACATCTGAAACGCGGAGTTATACATTCCCTGTTTGAGTGGAGCGACCAGCGATCTGTTCTCCTGTGACCGAGTGTGAGTGACGAGGTCAGTGGTGTAACTGTACTGTCCTACAGTGAACTCACCTCTTTCCATGCATCCTAACAACTTTAGCGGTGTTAAATCACGTCTGCAGCACCGTGTTACAGCGCCAAACCATCATATTTTAGTATTAGTGCATTCGCAAGCAACGAAAGTGAAAGAAAGAAGTGGGTTAATATGAGTTACAGCCCTGATTTAAACGAAAGTAAACTGAGGAAGCTGTGAGGCATTGGGAAGCGGGAGAGCGCTAGGTTAGCTTTCCAGGCTAGCTGTGTTTAGCTGCTGGCTAACTTGAAGCAGCGCTCCGGCACAACACAGTGAATTGATGATACGGTAGATCAAACAAGACACAAAATCACCGCTTTCAGTTTAAACATACCTAAAAGGAGGACTCTGTTTGACTGGTGTGAGAGATTCACACTGCAGATAATGCTTTTACACAGCAAACGTCAGATATACTGCGGTTCACCCCTTAAACTACTACGATTGTATAGAGAAATCCAGTCGTCGCTAGCTGGTGTCTGAATACTGTGATATGCTCTGACATGGATGTGGCAGGAGTGACAGCAGTGACCTACCGAACCAAGTTGACGTTGTTGAGAAACTAAAGAGTTTAGCACTGTTGTTGGCCGCTTGTTTAGTATTTGTAACTGGATAGCCGAGCGCTCGTCACCAGACAGCTAAAAATAATCTTTTTTTTTCTTAAATTAGGACTATTACAAAAATTGCAGCTGTGCATTTCAAGCTGATAAAAACAGCTCAGAAACTTTCTCCCACTGTCCCAAGACAGATTTGTGAAATGTTCCACTGTTTGCCAAGTGTTTGTCATGATCGGACCATAAGTGATAGTTTAAAACCACAATTAACCACCCAGGAGCAAAATCAGCCTTCAAACATGAAAGAAATCATGATTTGACATTTATCGCGATATGTATCGATATTGAACGAACGAATGAATGAATGAATTTTGTTTATCGTGATAACGTTTTTGGCCATATCATCCAGCTCTAGTCAGGCCTAAGATATTGAAATGTGGAAGCCTGAAGGGTGTAATTTTGGTTTCAGAAGTGGATGGGACACTATACGCTGACCCCCTCCACTTGTCAGACCCCCCAAACACACATACAAAACAAAACATAGCTAGCTAATAATACTCACATTCTACATTGGGTCATTTTAATGTAATGTTATTTGCTGATACAAATCCATACATAGATTTACATTAATTTTTACCATGGATGTTAGGTAGTTGATCTTGTTTACCATTTGAGTCAACAAAAAGTTCTGTATGACTATAATTTTCAAATCGCAAGAGCTGGAGTTTTACTTGTATCCCACATAATTCAACACTGAATGAAAAGTAGGGACATTTATATGTATATTTATGTATGTATATATATTTATATGTATGTAAAGTGGAATGAAATGTAATAATGCAGAGCTTGTGAACTGGCGGTCTGGCACTGCATTCAACGCTCAAGTATCAGTCTGGAAAAAATTAATGTACTAGTCTTCTTGGCGAAAAAAAAAGACCTGGAGCGTAATTTATAGAACATAATTATGTTTAAATCACAATTGCTATATTGGTCAGAAAAATCTCAAATAAATATTTTCCCGAGTTCTTCAGCCTTACTAACCGTATCTTACTAGATCACCCTATTTCACTGTTTATCTGATAAATCATGGCTAACGTTATTGAAGTTAGTGCTGACGGAATGGATTATCTTCTCATAACATGACCTGCGACTCATTCTTCTTTCTTACGACACTTCTAAATATTTCGGACAAATTTATTTGCATCTTCGTCTTCACTGTTATAGTAGCCAGTAATCTGTGTCTCAGCGCTTGTGACTTGGCGCAGGGTGGGGAGCAGGCCCTTCGGGGGTATTTTGGAAACGACACTGTGCCATTGCGTGTATCGAAGTGTTTAATCTTATCCACACAGGGACGGAGTGGCTGCAAGTTTTTATTCCAACACAACAGGAGCATGTACGATCAAGAGTGGACAACTGAGACCAATTAAATAAAAAAATGGACTCAAGTGAGCTCCTGCTTGATTGGAATGAAGACCTGCAGCCACACCAGCCCTTTGTGCATAAGATTGGACACCCCAACATATATCTTGGTTGTCCCTTGACTAATTTTATTCTATTTGTTAGTCTTAATTTTCATAGTCCTTATTGTGGTTTGTTCATTTTTAGATTTTTAAATATTTCTTTGTATATTTTATACCATTTGTCTATTGATTTTTCATTGCTTACTGTTATACTGTTGTATTTTAAGCTGTCTTGCATTACTTTTAAAGCACAAGTGGTATCATGTATGTTATGCTGGGTCTCTCTATTTCTCTGTATCTCCAACTCCATCTTCATCTCCATCTCTTCCTGTCTCTCTGTCAGCTTTTCATGCAGATTGATGCTCTGTACCCACGGCGGTTTGGCACCTGGAGTGACTACGCCAAAAAATACTGCAACGCTCACTACAAGTAAGCACCTCAGTGTAATTATAAATTTAATGAGTGCAATCAAACAACATATAGGCCTATACAACATATGACTGGTAAAGGCTCCATATCAAACACTTTAATTAATCACTGCTAATTATTTATTCATTTTCTAATTACTGAGTGCAAATTATCTCAGCGAGCAGTGTTTGAAATACAGCTTTGGTGGTGTGTATTAAATTAGACGAGACCCAGCAAGTTGCAGTAATCTTAACCTTTACCAAATTACATTTTGTTTTGTAATGAATGAGTTACCAAATGAGTGAAGAGTGTTGAAGAGCAAACTACATCACCAAGAACTTGTACAAAGTCATTTTGAAAAATAACTGGCTCTGGCTGAGGTGTCTGAGATAACGTATTTGTGTTTTGTGAAGCCATGTATTTGTGTTTAAGCGAAACATTGCTTCCTTCACAACATCCACGAAAGAGTGTGCTGGTTCACACCAAAGAGCTGCATGAACCCAACCTATACCAGCCGCTCAGAGCGCCAACCCAACCAGGCCTGACTGGTACTGCTAGATTTAAAACCCACACATGCTTGCATGCACTAATAGAGATTGTTTATTGGAGATATGGTTTTACATTGCTTTGTTTTATTACTAAGTGCTGAGCTTCTCCTATAGCCAACACTAAACTGGTGTGAGGAAGTACACTGACATTATTTTGTTCATGGTAAGCAGTTGGTAAGACTTTATTTTACACATACTAAACTATACAGTCATATATAAAAGATTGGAGATGGAGATACAAGGTTTTGTATTGGCAGCAGGAATATGTTAAATTCAGCAAATAAATAGAAACTGTGCGAATTTGCAGAAAATTGTCATATTGAAGTTTCCTGTAGCAGATGTTCTAACTGATTTTCACTTGGACAATCAACAAAACATTGACCAGGGGTGTTCAAACCTTTGCAAACAACTGTGAGAGAGAGAGAGCGTAAAAGAGAAAAAGCGTGACAGTTTGTAGGCATTTTCCTTCAAATAAAAGCAGATCCACTACATGACCTGACTGCCAATGACCTGCAGCTTCTCTGGTAAATACATTATTTACGACTAATGACATCTCTTAAACACACACACACACACACACACACACACGCTCACTCATGTTGTAAATGTTCTAATGAAACCATGGAGATAAATAGGGCACGGACATAAGCAGACCTGTGATGGATTGGCGACCTGTCCAGGGTTTCCTGCCTTCCTCCCAGTGAGCGCTGGGATGGGCTCCGGCACCTGCCGCGACCCAGGAGGATAAGCAGCTTAGATGATGAGGGGAGTGAGTGAGTGGGCATTAACAGGGGCTGTGTTTGTGTGAACGTATGTTCTTTTTATTTCTTTTTCTTTTCTTAAACCATTTCCTTTGTCTAGTCATTCTTTGGCTATGATAAGGTAAAAATGTATACAGTTGAAAAGACTGCACTTATATAGGCAGTAGGGGTGGGAATCTCTAGGCACCTCAGGATTCAATTCGATTACGATTCAGAGGGCTGCGATGCGATTATAAAACGATTATCGATGCATCTTTTTTTCTATATAGCATTTATATTTTCTCACTGTGTGAGCTCAAGTTTCAAGTTCAAGTTTCGAGTTTATTTGTCACTTGCACAACATGTCAGGACATTTATGCATTGAAATGCTTGTGGTGAGGCTCAGCTAATCACTCTACAGAAAGTAAATAAGTAAAAATAAAAATACAAGAAAAACCAACTGAAATATATTAAATATACACAAAATATACACAGAATATAGAGACAAGTAACTCGGTGGTATTGTTATTTAAAGTGACTTGGTACTTCTAAAGCAAAGTATTTGTAATGATCCATAATGAATTTACTTCCAATATCTTTTTTAATAAAACAAATGGAAGTGATGTGGCAAGTGAACTAGAAGGCTCTCATTCAGTGCTCTTGTTTGGAGCATGAGAAGCTGCTGCCACTCATCTGTGATAAAATGCGCAGTTACGGTGAAATAAGATCCAGTGGCAGTGGATGTCCACGCAGCACATGTTACAGCTGTTCTACCCGTTTTCTTTAGTGATTTTATAACTTCAGTTTTGGTCTCGTTGTAGAGACGGGGTGTCGCTGTGTCAGTAAAGTATCTTTGAGACGGATCGTGTGCAACATAGCGTGAAAGCCCTGTTTCGCAACGACTGAGAACCGGCGTGCAAACTGCAGGTCACCTAGCAGCGATGCGTTATTCGCATTTATAAGCGCTGCTGTTGGTTTCCTGGTATGTTAAATCTGCAATGAGAGACTGTCACACACTAAAAAGTGGCGAAGATGAAGTCAGCTTCTCTTTCGAATTCTCCCGTTCCAGCTTACATGGTGCCGCATTTACATTCGGTGCCTCAGTTAGAATTTAAGGTGGAACAGGTAAATTCGAACGAGAATGAGAAGCGACTTCAGCCTCGTAAGACAGCCGAATGTTGAGAGACATTTCACAAGAAAGTGTTCTGGTTTTGAGGAAAAGTTTTCTGGTGGAGATGGGAGGAAAGTGGAGCGAAGTAAATCTGCATTTTCGTTTATGTTGTTTAGCCTATACTAGGACATTATCACATACTGAGACATAAAATGTTGTGGCTCCCAACCTGGTTTGATTTTTGTTGAAAGGTCAAAATGGCTCTTCTTATCATTTGTGTTGTGACTTCTGTTCTAACCTGGCTTTAATGCAGAGGGAGCCGGTCGGGTTTCTCACTCACCAGTTGTGTTTTTGTTATGTGCCGCCACAGACTGTCCGGGCGCTGCACTTCCGCACTTCCAAGTTCCGCCTTTTGCGTTCCGTCAACATTACGTTATAAATTAAATATTTAGAAAATCGTTTTTTGACATTTGTGAATCGATTCTGAATCGTTCACGTCCGCATCGCGATGCATCTAAGAATCGATTTTTTCCCGCACCCCTAATAGGCAGAAACATCACCAGCTAATTAACTACACACATACACATTTTCAGTTTGGTGAAGAATGCTGGGGTACATGCAAATGAGACAAAGAAACTCCAGCACATGAGATCTACTCTCAGGTACAGAGTAAAATGGATGAGCTTCTCTAGAAGAAGGGCACTGACTGTCCAGTTTGGCATTATTTTGGTGTCCATCCGAACAAACACGGAGAACCACTGGATGTTAATATAGTTATTATTAAGTAATTTAATAAGCAAGCCCATTTGTTGATTATATAATAATTATATTACCGTCGGGGAAAATGCAAACTGTGGAGTGCGGCTCTGTACCGCTCACATGTGGTGCTTCATAACTCTATTTGGATCGCGCTAATATGATTTATTGTATAATTCTGCAGACGATAATCATTTGTCTACATTTTCATTATCGTCCAGCCTGCTACTGACCTTGTGCATTTGTTATTCTGTGCAGATTCTTCGGGAACAGGCGTCAGTGGGACTGTCGTGGAGCATCTCATTTGGATGAGCTGCACCACAGGCTGAGTGAGATTATGATTCGCAGGCTCAAAGCCGAGGTCCTCACTCAGCTGCCGGCCAAAATCCGCCAGAGGATCCCCTTCGATCTGCCCAAAGAGGCAGGCAAGGTGAGGCATACATTAGAGCCCCAAAGAGCTTAAATCCATGTTCTCTTTCTAATTATGTCAATCTTTGTCAGGTGGACACACAATATACATGAACAAAGTATGCTCTATGTCCAATAAGCTGATGAATTTCACCAGAATTTCCCATGTTTCGGTGTAAACTGGGTAGTTCTAATCTTGGGTAAAGCTTGAATGAGCATTACCCTCGCTGATCAAAAGGCTGATATGGCTCATCCTACCAGTACAGCTTCGACAAAACTGTGTTCCGCCATGATCTCTCTCTTTTCAACACAGAGAAACTCAGTGAGTTAAAGCTAAAAACTGAGTTAAGGTTAACCTGGCAAGCATAACTGAGCCAGGAAGCTGCCTCATCTGTCTGTTGTTTATTCGTTTGTCCAACCAGCCTTCCAAGCATTTCATGCTTATATGTTGTGTGGATGCAAATCAACAGTTAAGTGAATAAAAGGTTGATCTTCTTTAAGGCATCACCACATAAAAGCTGCACACTGTTATGGTGAGCGTGGTTCTGCAACTTCACCTGCATATATAGAGTGTTAGTTCTGTTGTACAAATGGATGTCAGTGAAGTGTGCTAATAAGAATATTAGGACAGTGTTTTTAAGCCAGGTTTTATCACATTTCTATCTTGTTTTTCATTCAGACTTGCCAGATGTTTAACCTCTTTAACTCAGTGACTTTTATTACATCCCACTTACTATTATTCAGTAATTCAATTCAAGTCTGAAACTTCCAGCAGTTTCTTTATGTTTAAGAGTTTGATATAAGACTCAATTTTATCATGATCTGTAATATTAACCCCTTGTTCTCTGGGACTGTTCCCTAACAACAAAACTACCAATCACGACACACAACAAAATATTTCACTGCTCTAACACACTGACTAAAGCTGGTCACTAACTGCTGGGTTGAATGAGGTATGTTTAAGCAGGAAAATCACCAGGGCTGCAACTAAGCATTATTTCCATAATCTGTTAATCTATCGATCATTTTTTTCAGTGAATCAACTAATCTAATGATTATGTTGCTGTTTCAATAAGAAATAAATTTAAACTTGAAGTTGAAAATCCAACATTTAAAAAAGCTACAACACTGTTACTTTAAGATCTCAGTTAAAGTTGTTGCTGAATCAAAAGTATGATTGAATACAAGAAATTGTTAAAAAAAAGAGATTTTAATTATTTACTAGTCTCTAAACAGTAAAAAAATTAAAAGTACGTTTATCCTACTTTTTCATTTATCATCTAGTGGCTATTTGTAGTACATTTAGCATGCACTATTTTTATCTTCCCCTCGATGACAGGACAGCGTTTGCCTGGAGCCTTACTGTTCATTGTCAAACTGCAACTTCAGTATGGTGTTAATTTTATTCCTCTGTATTTAACATCACTGAAATGTTCCGCTCTTTCATGTTGTGTTTTTCTGTTCTTAGTTAAAGCACTTACCCACTATCCAAACAAGCAAGAGAAAAGGTGCTGGATGCTTTAGTTTCAGTTCATTTGTTTCGTTTGTGCTTTATTTCGTGCTGCTGTGAAATGCTATCTCTCCTTTTTGTATAGCACACTGTAATGTGCTGTGACTACTGTGTATCTCATTTTCTTGAATTTATCTCCATTTGCACCATTTGTGAATGTTAACATCTCTACGACAGTTAGTTCCGCCAGCACAGTCTGAGTCACGTGTGTCAAACTCAATCATCAAAAGGGCCATATCAAAAAATCTCAAATATCTCATTTTTTTTTAACATTGTGCCATAAACCAAACTGATCATTGTTTATTCAAAATGTGCAAAAACTTCAACAGTAAAATATAGCCACTTTGAAATATGACATGAATACTTGAAATATTCTAAATGTAAATGTCTGCAGGAGCTCAGTCTTTTAAACCTACGCATTTGCTTCAACTAGACATCTGACATCTTTTCATTGCTGCAAGTTCATTAATGCTTGGGCTCAATTTCTGAGCTGCTGAGCTGACGTTAGATGTTTAAATTGGCTGATCTGCAGTTAGTTGTTTGGTGATATGACTGGTGTGGACTGAGGTGTAATCGCTGTCCCATAGATTGTTGTTGGTGTAGGAAAGTCAGAGCGCACATTACGTTGCAGTGCATGCTGGGGACTGTAGTATAGTGCACTGTCGCGGGCCTGATCTAGACACATGGGTCTGACTGGTTGAAAAGCTTTCTAGCCATGCTGTTATCACAACATCTGTATCATTCCGCTGAGGTTGCTAAGTAAAACCGCTTTACAGCTGACTGTACATTTCAACTTGACCACATACAAAAACAGAAAATAACATTAGTTGATTTATATATTATAGTTTATCATTATTTACATATTAAATTATCATTAGAAAATAACACAACTTTCTATCTGGGGTGCTCAGCACCCCTAAAGCTCTGATCCTGGCATTGGTTTCTGAAACATTATGCTATGTTATGTAAATATATTTGATTGTAGTTTGTCCTCTGTCCTTTAGGAGTGAGAAAGTGTAGGTTTTATCATGTTTGGATGTTAATTTCATGAGAACGCTAAGAGAAAAAAATAAAAAATGTCCAATATAAAACCATTTTTAACACTCTGTCTGTAATGCAAACTTTTCTGGCTTTAATATTAAAGCACAAGTTATATACTATTCGGGGCTTCTTTGTTTTGCTTTTTTTGTTCATTTTACAGAGCGGTATAAAATCGCCAAACTCTACTGGACTGCAGTTCAGTGAAAACAGAACATATTGTGGCGTCGGCGTATCACTCATAAAGAAATACAGTCAACACATGTATACATGAACATGTGCACAAGACAGACTCGAGCTTATTTATTCACACATGCACTCGTTCATAGCACACATTCACATTTTCACACCCACACGTACCAGTTCAGCCATTTCTTTCCATGCTCCCTCACACACCCATATGCTAACTCTCCAATCAGCCAATCTGAGATGAGACAGAATCAGACGGCCTAAATATAGCACTAATTACCTCTCTGTAACCGCCCCGTGGCCGTTGCTAGGCGATAGTATTCGATTAGCACTAATTATCATTTTATCTCACTTGTCCACGATCACACTTTTTTTTCTTCCTCTCTTTTTCCCCCTCTCTTTTCAAACTCTGATGAGCTGTCAGCATGTTATTCAGAGAAGAAAGTACATCTCTAATCACACTTTGTTCTTTCCCAGCTTTTTCTCTCACTCTCTCATTCTCTCACTCTTACTCTGCGCGTGCCTGCTTGTGTGCGTGCGTGTGTGCGTGTGTGCGTGTGCGCGTGTGCCTGCGTGCATGTGTGTATGTGACTTGGCTGTTTTGCCGTTTCTTTCTCTTTCATGAACACTTGATTTACGTACTATTCTGATGAAAATGCTTAGTAAAAGCACTAGCTTGAAAATATCTGTCTGTCATTTCAAGTGCAGTGCCACTGTCTTCTGGTCATGTACTCATCTTCACTTGTCCTCACATCTAAAGATATCACTAATCTAAAACCAGGTATCATTATCGGGCTGATATCAGCAGAAAATACTGGATCAGATACCTGATCGAAGAAAGAATGAATCCAATTCAGTCCTCTAACTATCCTGAAACAGCACGCACACATGCTATGTGACGTGTTGTTGGCTATATTTCTTGAGGTAGAGAGTGATTGAGTAGGTTGAGCATGATAGTCTACTTTTAGATGTTCTTAAGTGAAGTGCTTAATAAATGCTCATTTTAAAGCTTATCAGCTGATACCTAAAACAGGTGATGTCCTGTCATCTGTACTTTCTTCTTCTTCTTCTTTTTCTTCCTCTTCTTCTTTTTCTTTTTCTCCGACTTCATCTTTCTCTCTCTCTCTCTCTCTCTCTCTCTCTCTCGCTCTCTCTCTCTCTCTCTCTCTCTCTCTCGCTCTCGCTCTCTCATTTCTTTTTTATGTCTATCTCCATTTTGCTTGCTTCAACCGTCCCCCCATGCTGGCATCTCTACACCCATCTGTGTGTGTGTGCGCGCGCGTGTGTGTGCGCACATGCCAGATACCAGTAATACAAAGAGCAGCTCACCTGCTACCAAGCCTCATAAATCATCTGCTGTCACTGCACACGCACACACGTATGCATCATACCATTACAAATGTACACGCATGCATATATAGGTGTGTGTGTGTGTGTGTGTGTGTGTGTGTGTGTGTGTGTAGGGTGCAACTATAGAATATTTTCATTTTTAAATATGCTATTGAATATTTTTTGGAAAATGTGAATATTCTGTCAGAAGAAAAGCTTTTATTTTCTAGATTGTTATCTTGAGACAACAAGATAAGTAGCTTGTTATTTCAAGATAACAATTTTGTAATTGTAATGAAAAGAAATAGAGACGTCCATCAATGTGTTAATACATTCTGGAGAATAGGGATGTGCATTCCAACTAATTTTGATATTCAAGGGTCTATTAGAGTTAGTAGATAGATATCCGGTTAACCGCAAGGAAAGAAAAAGCAACAACAAAAAGGAATAAAAACAGACTTCAGCCGAAATCAGAGCAAGGTTGTAGGCGTCCTTTTTAGTTGACAGCACGAGAGTTTAAAATTTGTTTTATTATTTATAAATAGCCGAGGGAAATTGGTAGGTTTTCATCTTGGATGAGTAATGGAAGCTGCCTCTTCAGAGGAGCTAATGAGCAAACACTAGCTGATACTTTGGATGCTGATGAGGACTCCTCTTCTGTTCAAGGACTATTCTCCTCAGTGGGCAATGTGCCAACATGTTGTTTGCAGAGTTTCACTGTTTCTGGGTCTAGCTAACAACAGTTAGACTAGTTAGTGAAAAAACCTGCCAGAGCCGGCTCAGTCACATCCATATCCATTTGTCCTTGGTAATGTGCTCACCTTAAGGCCTCGTGTTTCGTAGTAGCAAAGTATAATATTATATACTCATGGCACTGTCACACTTCACAGTCCTGTTAAAACATAAAATTAGTGTTTCACTGAATTTTTATCCGGCTTATTTTCTTCATCTTTCCACAATGAATTTTCTCACCAAATCCAATTTTTTTGTTTGGCTGTTCACAATATCTTTTAAATGTGACCTATATGCGACATTAGTCTGAACAGATCAGCTCTCAGATCGTTCTCCTATGGTCGCATTCGGCCATTTCTTTAGAAATCTCTTCGAACATGGAGTAGTTGCAATAAGTGCCTTCTAATTTTTTGGTACAGAAACGTCAGCCTAAATGTTTGAGGTCTCAGCAGCACAAAATTCTGATGAATGTGGCGTAAAAGTCGTATGAATTTCGATCTGGCTGTTTAGAGTCGCATTGCTGCAGATCGGATACGTATCGGATTTCAGTACCACATATGAAAGTGTCCCAAATCGGAATGGAAAATGTCAGATTTTATGTGTTTTTTGTTGTTCACACTGCCACACAAATGACACATCTGTGTCGCATATGAAGAAAAAGATTGGATTTGGGCCACTTTTACCTGCTGTGTGAACAAAGCCTTAGTGTGTTTTCACATAGTTCTTTTTAAATGAACTGAACTCAGTTATGTTAAAGTGAACTTCAGAGGGAACCAGCTGCAAATGACCTCAGTGTTTTTTGTGTTTACAGTGTAAGTGAATTTTAAAGAGGACTCTGTTTTCTCACTGGTCCTTTTTAACGTTGATGAGATCATAGACCACTTCTTGTTCACACCACAGCTCCATTAGATCTTAGATCCCTTTCACACCTCTCGCAGTGTGAAAGCAGTGCTCATTGGTTGGGTGTGAAAGTGGGCGGCAGCCTCTGATGAAACTAATCTTTCGGGTGGCGAAGGGAACTACCAGACCTGCCTACTGCTCTCCTATTGGCCACGCTGATACTTGGCTGAAGTGTGTTGTGCAAAAGTAAAATAATGACCCCCACATGTATCGTGACTGTGCTCCAATCAATCAACAATGTATTTGAAAAAGCAGCGGTGTATTTCATTCATTCAGTGTTCTATGTGAAAGCAGCTTAAAAATCTGTGTTCTGTGTGCAAAATCAGTAAACTCACATGGGCTCTTGCGTCGTATCGCATCTTGTCTTGTCACAAGATCTTTACAAGGCTTAATCCTGTAGTACCTTATATGATCTTTGGCAGTTGTTACTCGCTGAAGTGCTGGAAGACTGTGGACGTTTACTACGATAAGACTTGAGATCTTTGCTAACACAAAGCTTCTCATTGATTTGTGCATTTATTTTCACAATCAGACCAGAAAACGAACTACAAAAGAACCGTACTAAGGCCACCTCGAGAGCTGGTGTGAGTTTGCTTTGCTTTTGGGGTTGTTTAGAGGGCTCCGAGTTCCTTTGACGTGTTCACATATGCACAGAAAATACCATGACTCTCTGAGTCTGAGTCCACTTCAAACGCTGAAATGGTTCAAGTGTGAAAACACCTGAATTGCAATTTCAGTATTTGAATATTGGCACCTCAAATGATGAACTGAATAGTTGAGTACCTGTGCTCATGTCTAGTGGACAATTCTGTAAGTTAGACTGATACAACTGTATTGTTTGAGCACCAAAGATGGTGAATGATCAGCTCCAATCAATAGCTCTCTCCAGCACTCCTCCTGGCTCCCAGCTCTGATACTGTTAACCATCATTTTCCTTCACTCAGATTTCTTTCAAAATATAATGAGAATACAGTATCCTGATCTCTGTATCGTGAATTGATCATAACTGAACTAAAGGAGCACAAAGAGTTGCTGTAGGTTACTGAGGTTAAGGTTAGGTTTGGTCCAGGTGTGGGCAGGGCAGTATTTATCTACAGTAATGCACAGACACCCTGTGTGTGTGGGTGTGTGTGGGTGTGTGTGTGTGATTTATTGCGCTGGTGTGCCATGTGTTTCCATATTCCCCTGCTGCTGTCAGTGCAGCGCTATAATTGGGCAGGTCACATGACCCACAGAGAGTGAGCTGATGTTCAGCAACATCAGGGATCTCTACACTTCCACACCACCCCCCACCTCTCTCTCTTTCTTTCTCTTTCTGTCTCTCTCTCTCTCTGTCTCTCTCTCTCTCTCTCTCTCTGTCGCCCAACTTGCATTATCTCTACTTTCTCTGTTTCTCTCTTTCCCCTTCCCTCACAGCTTTCCTTTCTCTTTCTCTTTTCTTTTTCTCTTTGCATCCATTGCATTCTCTTTTCTTTCTCTGTATCTTTCCCCTTCCCTCACTCCTTTTCTTTCTCTTTCCCCCTCTCTCATTCTCTTCTCCCTCTCTCTCTTGCTATTTCTGTCTCTCTTCCCTTCCCTCACTTCTTTCTCTCTGTTTCTCTCCCTCCATCTCTCTGTATTTATCCACTCGCTTTCTTTCTTTACATCACTCCTTCTCTCTCTCTCTCTCTCTCTCTCTCTCTCTCTCTCTCTCTCTCTCATATGCTCCACCTTTTCCTCTTCAGTTATGGAAAGTAGGACAGATCTTGCAGTATCATTAATTGTTCTGCCCTTAAAACAACAACAACAAAAAATAAATAAATAAAAAGGAAACAAAACGAGACAACCCCTTACATTTACTTACACTCTTTATCTCCCTCTTTTCCAGGAAGCCAGTGTGAGTTTTGAGAAGTGGGAGAGGCTGATGCGTTCCCTGGATTCGGGGGAGTCAGACAGTGAGAACCCTTTCACTGAAGTCATGAGTCTCATCACACAGATGTACAAACAGACAGCAGTAGCCAAGGTAGCGTCTGTGTGTGTCTGTGTCTGAGTGTGTGTGTGTGTGTCTTAGGACTGCACCATAGAACACTGGTATGGTGATTATATTACTGCTTATTACATTATGGCTTTGTTGTAGCCTTTTGCAAGATCAACATCATGATAAGAGTCATCAATATTGTGTGTGTGTATGTGTATATATATATATATATATATATATATATATATATATATATATATATATATATATACACACACACACACGCGTGTGTGTGTGTGTAGGGAGAGGGGTTATATGGGCGGCAATGTGGGGAAAAAAAAAAAAAATCTTTTTTGACCCACCACCCAAACAATACCTGCTGTGTGGTGCTCCTGACCACAACTACAGAGCACCTATATGGTTAATGCAAGAGTGTGTGTGTGGGTGTGTGTGTGTGTATGTGTGTATATAAATATATACACACACACAGACACATACATACATACATACATATATACACATACAGTCAAAATAATCAATAGATTCTTCAATACCAAATATAATTGGTAGTGACAGTCCTCAAATTGAAACCAAATACAGCACACTGTTAGACTTGCTGCTTATAGGCCGAAGTTACATGCTCCTGCTTTAGGTCTTTTGTTATTTTATATGCAAACATGGCAAGTAGTTGCAAATTCAAGTACCACACGCATTCACAAGCACATGTACACACATACGCAATCGGAGCGTGCTTTCCTACATTAACAAGAAGGACAGCAGCATGCCGTCGACCCCTAATGACCACCATGGCAACCAGCCCTTCTCTTCTCCGTCTGAGAGGTGATGGCATTGCCATGGGAACGAGCCCCAGGAGGCTGGACCAATGATGACGACGGCCATAACGGCGACCTTTTCAGTTACTCTGTGCCTCTTTTCCTTTTTCTTGTTTCTTTTTTATTCTATTTTATTTTTTTTATTTAAAAGAATAAAAAAGTACAACTGCCTGGCAAAGCAGTAGTAGCAAAGCACTAGTTTTGTTCAGTTTTCTAGATAACAGTATGTTGTACAGTGCCAAAAAACACATAAGCAAGTCAATTTGAGAATACTTAACAAGTCAAAGTGATTTGAGGTAAGTGTTGAGGTTTAAGCTGTGGTCACACCGGACTGCCACCATGCTATTTACTTCACAGGGGTGGAGCAAAAGTCAGGCGAGTACAGGCGGTACAGATGGTTTCGGAGGGAACATGTAGTTCAGTAAATAATTAACATTAGCTGGTTAACTATTTCGTTTTTAGCAACTGTGAGGGGCAAGTAACTTTAGGTTGGCCGAGGAATTTTTCTGCATTTAGCATTTTTCATGAAAGATGATGCCAGAGCTCTGCTGTTGGCTGACACTTTGCAGGGGTTAAAATTCACTTGACGCAAAGTGAAATGTATTGCTACTGTAAGTGAATGTGAGCTATCTAAGCCATGGCTGAGCAACTACATTTGGGATGAGGGCTAAATTAGTTTATGGTTAAGGGCTGTTCTTAGTCATGATGTGCATTGTTGATTGTGGTGATTTCATGTCATGTAATATATTACAATATTGCAGTGTTTAATGTAGAAACCTTTACATTATAAGTGTCTTGTTCTTATCAACTTACAACTTCAATGGTAATGCTAGTTTTTGCTAGGATCTTTGAGATTTCATACCGATTTCTACTGAATTCTTCAGATCTACCAAGAAGCTCTCATCTTATGACGGGTAGATCACAGACGTCACATCTGATATTTGAACGCTCAATGCTAACTTTATATCCGTAACCTATAGCTAGCTAGCTGACTGTTGGAACATGCTTCCGGGACTGAGGTCACACAAGCTCCTGTTATAAGTCGACATGGTTGTTTTTGAAGACATGGTGTCTTATTGTGCGCCATGCCAGGAAAGTACAATTGCGAGGAAACACCCTTGAGGTTATAGGAGTATTTAATGTATCATGTTATTCTCACAGTAAAGGTGGACAGCAAGCTATCACAATCTTGAAATGAAGTTAACCATGTATAATAGGTGCCTGCAGCAGGTGGCTAACCCAAGTAGGAAATGTCTAGCTATGCTGCAAACAACGGTATAATGTACCTTCATGATAAGCACCATTAACAAGGAAGCTTAAATAACCTACTTGCTGGGCAATTTGGCTGGGACCCTGAGCAGCAGGAGAGTGGTCACTTTATGTGAGGGAGAGGAGTGGGAGTAGCTGATGTATTCATATTACTAACTCTTGATTGGTTTTTGCTTAACTGACATCACCTGCGCCAAATTTAGTCCCACCCAGCTCCAATCAAACAGAGGAAAATGACAGATGAAGGTAATTTCAAAACTCTCAACAGAAAAGATCAACATTCTTTCGCTGCCAGCCACAAATACTATAGACCAGGGGTGTCAAAGGGCCATATTAAAGAATCTCAACAAATCTGTAAGCCAGCTGTGTTTTTATTTTATTTTTCCTTTACATTTTGCCATGACTGCAACTGGCCGTTGTTTATTCAAAATATACCAAAACTACAACTGCAACAATAGGCACTGAATACTTGAAGGACTTGAATTTTAAATTAAAGCAAATTGTTTTATAAAACAATAGACTACATTAGCTGTTAAACCTCTTTAAATGTCCCCAATGTACACAATGTCTTTTAAAACTGACCATTCACTTGAACTAGACACCTGGCATGTTTTATTTTATTTTATTTTATTTTTATTTTTTTTGTGTGTGTGGTGCTGTCCTATAGATCATTGTTGGGGAAGGGGTGGGAGCACACATCACATTGCAGTGCATGCTGGGAACTGTCGTGCAGCTCATGGTGAAATTGCGGGTGAATAGGATTGCTCTTTGTGTTTGACACATGAGCTATAGACAATAGTTAAAAGAAATTCATGAAAATAAGTAGACAGGGGCTTTGATGGCTTGGTGCAGGTCTGGTTTAAGAACCATGGGTCTAACATGCTGCTGACTGTGCACTGTGGTTCAAATTAGTGTTTTAAGCAGTGTAATAATGGATATGCACTTGTAGAATTGAAAACATTCGTGCAGAAAATCTTACTCCAGTCGAAGTTGGCGACCTGTGATTTACTCATGCTGATGCCAGGTCCCATCTATCAATGCGCTCTTTTTCTTGAAAGGTTTTTAAAGAAATTTTCCTCTGAGCCATAGACATTAACCATTTTTTGTAGCTCAGTTCCCATGGTGACTCAGTGGCGTTTTGAGACAACGCGACGAAGAAGTCCACTGGAAACTCTGTGGACAGGAAGTGACACGTTGTCCAGCGGTGAGAGCTAAGATAAAGTAAAATATCCACAAGCAGCACATCAACTCAAAACAACTCTCCTCTCACAGTGCTTCTTAACAGCCTCTCAGCAGCCTTAAATTATGAATTATGCTCATATTAATGCTCACATGTATGCACACTTCACAGTAGAATCAGGTCATTGCTTTAAGAGCCTGGTGTGCGTGTGTGTTTGTGCACTCCATGTCATTGTCCCTATTGGTCTCATGATCTCTTGTTCATCACACTTAATCGCTTTTATTGATTTATTCCCACTCTTTCATTTGCTCTCTGCCCAGAGTGTCGTCTCCTTTCATATCCGGCCCACTCGCTTTTCTCTCACACACACACACACACACACACACTCTCACTCACATATACACACACTGCTGGAACACACAGCAGGATGTTGAAGGAATGAAATGCAGTGGAGGGGGGGGGGCAGTATCAAGACTGTGTCAGAAAGCGTGTCACTTTTTTTTTTCTGAAGTGTAAGTTCCTGGCCAGCTTAGAGCGAGCCAAGCATCGGTATTTTTACCCCAACAGCATCTGCTCCCAATTATCTTGAGACTGAGCCTCTCTCACACACTCTTTCTCTCTCACATACACACACACACACACACACACACACACATGGCGCACTGAAAAAGACTTAATGCCGCTTCACAGGGAGCAGTTTTGGATACCAATTAAAAGATGTGAAAACGGCAAAACTAGGCTGTAATAACAGAAGTGGAACGGCGCTTTGAAAGTGTGGGAGAAAGAGGCTTCCTCCCAGCTCGCTAACGACCACTGTTAATGATACAGGCTATTCGCATCATCATCTGATAGTTATCGATCAGTAGATAATCAAATCCTGTGAAGATTGGACAGTTTAAAGCGTGGCTTTCGGTGATGCGAGGATGGAGGACTGTCTCCTTGATATGCTTTTAGCACAAACAACAACAAATTCTTCTGAATCACTAAATCTGTACAGTGGAACAAAATGGCATTCCTCCAGGCCCTCAGTGCAACATACAAGACATGGCAAGCATTTACCGGACCGCACAGTGCAAGTGACCGGAACAAAGCCTCCGTTCCAGTACTGTATTTAATGTGCCATCATTGACCTCCCCTTGCCATTTTGCCTCAGGGGAATCCCCGACACATAGAAGAGCTGTTCCATTTCTGTATCAGCTCAAGTGAAGTTTGTTAGATAACTCCTTCAAGCGGTGAAGGCAGGTGAGGTATTTAGTTTTTAAACTCCAAAACAATGGCACAAAGCTGCCAGCGCAGTAAACAACTTTAAAACACTTTAAGGGGCGTTCTGGCCTAAAACTAGACTTTGTTTGTTGCGGTACTCTGCAGTACAGCACTGTATCCCTCAGCTTGATCAGTTTGACAGACTTCCAGATTTTATATTGTTTCAATGTTTTCATTTGTCACTGTTCACTCCGAACATGCATTATGCACAGCCACTGAGAATTTCTCTAGTGTCAACCAAATCTTCATTACTAGCCTACCCACTGAACTAAAGGCTAATAAATGCAACCAAGCTAGCTTTAGTGCAACAAAAACAGCAATTCTGTCTTTATTCTGCACACAATAGACATCAGAGACAAGTTTTTTCAGATTCAATTCAGAGGTAAGGTATCTAGATAGCCAAGTAGCTACATTGCTAGCTTTAGCTTCTAGCTTGTTGTCCTTCTCGTCTGACGAGTCATTTTTTGTTGTTTGAGTAATCCATTCTCTCCATTTTAAAGCTGAACAGTTTTTGTTATTGATATGGCTGCAAGTTATAATACAGTCATACAGATTCCTAGCTGTATCGCTAGCTGTCTGTCTTTCTTCTGCATTCACCAGCTCATGGAAGAAAAACTTTTCATAACAGCCTGCACTCCAAAAAGCAGTTTTTTTTTTCTGAAAGTTCTTCTCACTTTCAAAGTACATCATCAAAATGGAAATTTAACAGACTGTTAACCGCCAAATGTCACTCTGGAGACACATCTTCGGCGCCACTGTAGGATAGGAGTAAGCATGTTCACAACAGCAGAGTGTCCTTTTCGTTTTTCAGAACCGTGACGTTCGATTTGCTATGTTCAGATTCAGCTCTATGTAGAAACTACTGTTACCTTCTGTAACAGATAACTGCTGCTGTTTGTTACTTCACTCTGCTAGCATTCTAGTCAGAATGCACAGCTAGCAACAACAAGAAAAGCTTCAAAAATAGCTAAGCCAAACAATGCATTTATTCACAAAGTTTTAAAATCTTCTTTAATATAAAGTGTATGTAATGTACTCAGATGTCTCAAAAGCCTGGCAAGGTGTGTTCCTACTGAAAAATCCTCCTCACCTTGTCCTACGAGGGAGCACTTGTGTAATGTGTTGAGATGAAGTTTAAAAGGAATTACCTGTTTTGTTGATTTAAGTGAAAATAAGTTAACACATCCTCCTCAGGGAACAAACTTAAAATATGAATAATGCATTAATGTAATATAAATAAGACATCTAATAAAAAATGTGCCATAACGTTGGCGCAATGTGTTGAATTCAGCAAATAAACAGTAATTGTAAATTAAAATGTGCAGAAGTGTTCTGTATAGAGGATGTTAGTTTGTTTTCACTTAGAAAGTCACCAAAACACATCATTTGACCAGGGGCGCGCAAACTTTTTAGTGCATTTAAACAAGATATTATATAACTACTATGCAACAGTGCGACCAGCAGTAAATAGAGTACAATGAATAATGCGGGACAAGACTGCATGAGACAGTGTTAATATCTCTCTCTCTCTCTCTCTCTCTCTCTCTCTCTCTCTCTGTCTCTCTGTCTCTCTGTCTCTCTCTCACTAGGCAGGAGCAGTGAAGGACTACATAAAGATGATGCTGGAAACGGAGCAGCTGAAGTTCCTGGTCTTTGCTCATCACCTCTGCATGCTGCAGGCGTGTACTGAGGCTGTCATTGAGGCCAAGGTACTACAGCTCAACTCCGCTCAACTCAGACAGAGAAAGTGTGTGTGTGTGTGTGTGTGTGTGTGTGTGTGTGTGTGTGTGTGTGTGTGTGTGTGTGTGTGTGTGTGAGTGTGAGATGAGTCCCAGCTCATCAGAATGGTGATCAGCTAACCCACACTAACACGCTCCAGGCCATGAAAGAAAAGCATAAAGACAGAGAAATGTTTCTGTGAGTGAGCATGATTAGAAGTAGCTGTGTGCATTTGAGAGAGAGCAAGAGAGAAGGAGAGAGAGAGAGCTAAATGAAAGGTAGAGGGGACAGTGATGGATGTGTGTGAGAGAGTGAAAGGGACGGAGGAGATGGCGACAGTGGAGTAGAGGTGAGAACACTGTATGTGTGAGAGAGACAGATTGTGTCAGGAAAGTTAGAAAGTTGAGGAAAGAATGATCAAGTTGTGTGTGAGAAGGTATGAAAATGATTTTTCCATAATAGTACATTTTTTATAATAATTATCAGTTTTCAGTGTTATTGCTGTATTGTTAAGCTATTCTTGTTTAAAAAGCAGTAATGTACATTGAAATCTCAAGTTGGTGATTAAAATCAATTCACCACAGGCGTTATATTGACAGACTTTGCTGAAAGCACAACTGCATAGTTTAAAAAAGTTAGAGCTTTTTTTTTTCCAATGGTGTTCAAGTCGGAAGATTGGCTAAGCCAGGGGTCTGCAATGAAAATGTTAAGAAGAGCCATTTTGTACTTTTAACAAAAAATCTAACCACCTTGGGAACCACAACATTTTATGTCCATAGTGCCATCTTAGCTGTAAATATGTCTCAGTAAGTGCTAAGGTACTAGTATAGGCCAAAAAATATAAATGAAAACGCAGACTTAATTTGCTCTGTTACAAGCTTTAGCTCAGCTATAGCCACTTTTCTCGCATTTCCAGGAGGAAACTTTACCACAAAAGTAGAATAGTTTTTTGTAAAATGTCTCTCATCATTCAACTTTTTATGAGGCTGAAATCAGCTTCTCATTCGCCAGCTTCAATTTCCTGTTCCACCTTAAATTGTGCCTGAGGTGCCAGAATGTAACTGCTGCCCCTTGTAAGGTGGAACAGGAAAATTTAAAGGAGAAGCTGGCGAACGAGAATCTGGCTTCAGCCTCGCAACGTTTTAGTGTTTGACAGCTTCTCGTTGCAGATTTTAAACGTATCTGGAAACCAGCTGGAGTGCTTGTAAATGCAAGTAAGTCCATTCGTCTCCAGATTATTGATTTTCGTCTTAAATCTTTCACTTTGCCTTTTCGTTAGCTACTAGCTAGGCGAGATTGTTGTCTGCGCTGTTTTGGTGACCAGCAATATGCATGCCAGTCTCGATCAGCAGAGCTTTATTTGACTGCGAAGGAGGATTATTTTATTTCTACCTAGAAAATTTAGTTCTGCTGTGGAGCCGCAGCAGGGCAGTAAAAAAAACGCATGTTGCCGACCCCTGGGCTAGACCATGCAAGCACCTTCACCTTTTTAGAAACCAGTCGTGAGTTATTTTTGCTGTATGTTTTTGGCTTTTGTCTTTAAACCTCCATCTTCTCCTCTTTCTTGGCCAATCTGATGTCTACCATTATGTTGCCCCATTCATATTTTCTTTGATGCGGTGTAATGCCCCTGAACATTTTGCAGTGTAGCAGCGCCATATCATGATGCTCCCACCCCCGTACTTCACTATGGGTGTGGTGTTCTTAGGATCGTTCCTGCAATCTTTCTTTCTCTAAGCATGACGAGCTGAATTTTTACCTAGGAGTTCTATTTTTGTTTTGTCTGACTAGAGCACACTGTTCCAATACAGTTCTGATATGTCTAAATGTTCTTTTGCAAATTTTAGGCATGCATCTCTGTGCTTCTTTTGTAGCAGGGGGGGTTTGACATGCGATGTAGGAACGAGGGTCATTACGGTGCTTATTCTGCAACTCTTTTAGTGTGACTGCTGGCTTCTTTCTTTCCTCCCTTATCATTAGTCTGAGAGAAATCTTGCGTGGCACGTGTGTGCAGAGATGGTTAGTCACAGTTTTATGAGCTTTCCAGTTATGTATTATCGGGCCATGTGTACTGACAGGGATGTTTAAGGTCTTTGCTAGGGCTCTGTATCTTTTTCCATTCAAATATTGTTAATAATGTTGCCCCTAAGAACTTTGGGAAGCTCCTTCACCATGATTGCTACTTGTGTGAAATTTTGCCAACCGGTTCTGCCAATTGTTCTGATCATATGCAAGTAGAATGTTCACAAACCAGGACAGGTGCACCCTCAAGATTGTACACTGCCCGTCCAGACTAATGATAAGGGAGGTAAGAGAGAAGCCAGCAGTCACTTGAAAGTTACACAGGGAACAATAAGCAGTGAACTGCCCTGCATTCATCTCTGTTTCTATACTCCATGCAAAACTCCTCTGCTACAAAAGAAGCACAGAGATGCACATCGTTGCACACAAGCATTTAGACCAATCACAACTCTTTTGGAGCAATGTACTCTGGTTAGAAGAAACAAAAATAGAACTCTTTGGCAATAATTCAGCTCAACATGGAGATTATTCTTTTTATTGAAGTCTTTTTTCCCCAGTTATCTTTTTCCAGTGAAATATATATATATATATATACACCATGCAGAGCCTTTACAAAATATATATATATATATATATATATATATATATATATATATATATAAATATTTTTTATTTTTTTTTTTTGCAAAGGCTCTGCATGGTGTTAATGTTGTTCAGTTTTTGTTTTTACTGTTTGGCTTTTTATCAAAAGCTGACTGATAACTGTCCTATCCCACTGTGAGAGTGAGGTACGGAAACAGGTGAGAGTGGTGTGTATGTGTGCGTATGTGGTTTTGGGGAACGGAGTAGACATAGAAAGAAGAAAAAAAAGAGAGCCATGTCTTTGAGGAAAGCTCATGCTACTGAAACCCTCCTCACAAGTACTGTGCATGGACTTCTTATTCTGTCCCTGCTGTGGCACAAACTCAGTCCCGGTTTCTAAAAGATGTCAGAAGTGTGTGGATATGTCTATTTACAGACCCTGTATCCTACACACACTACTAAAGTCACTATACCAGAATTTATTCATTGTTATTGTTGTTTATTAAAGTAAACATTATTGTAATATCGTGTAAAAGATTGAGCAGAAGCTTGATACTCATAAAAGAAGATCAGGCATAAATTTGATACTTAAAAAGTTATATTTTGCTCACATTTGACTGACATTACCTGAAGATATTACGAGGACGAGGGATAGCTTAAACCAAAAGGGTAATTTATAACTAAGGCATATCAGACGTTGTGTGCCAGTAGTTTAAAACAAACAACAGTAATGCCATCAATTTCAAACAAAGCTAATAGTATATAGTAAATGTATGTTTCTGGATAAGAACCCTTTTAGAACGCTAGTTGTTAATAAATTAAGACTGAATTGAGCTGACTTGCTTGAGCTCCTTCACATTTGGATGTGATCTTTCAGGCATGTGGCTAAATTTGATGAATTACATACTGAATTATCAGTTCAGCATTGTTTGCTGACTGTTTTTGTGCATCACAACACAAGTAGTCCCAGTTACAAATTAAGACCCATCTAGGCCTGTGCTGGTAACAGAGTCTTTTATTTACATGACCTGAACAATAACAGAAGTAAATGGTTAAACTGTGTTGAGGGGGGAGTATTTTTTCCTTTGTTTGCTACTTTATCAGTGAAGCAGACGCAGGAGAAAACATTGGTATCTTGTGAGTCTTAAAAGATAATAGGGTGCAGTGTCCATTAATGATGGGGCTCTAGTATGTTGTCATCATTAATTTGGCCACAAAACTGTAAATAATCTAGTAAGAAAGATTGAAATTGCAGATGTTGCACACTTGTCTGGTGATTGAGGCAAGTGTTTTCCTCAAAATCAAAGACATTTTTCAGTCTGAAACCTGATGCTTTGGTGTGAGGGTGTCCTAAAATGTGCACCACACCATTGAGGTGGCTTTTTGTACAGACATGATATCTGCCTCCAGCACAGAACCTGTTTACCCAGCATAGCTGCATTTTACAACAGTCATTGTTAGGTACAGTATTAGTGGTATTAGTATAGGATATCACATCACCCAATGTTTAAAAGTTCAGTTATGTTTAAGTGCGTCTTGCTCTGGTTTTCATGAAATAAATCATAAATTAGGATTTTTTTTAACAGGTGGCAAATGAGTTTTTACCATCACCTGGGCTGTTACCATGGTAACTCGATTAACAGTCGTCAGGCACAGGACTAAACCCATTGTTCATAAAACCTTACCCCACATCCCTGATGTTCAGTTTCAGTGTTATAGAGCAATACTTTTTTTTTTGTCTGTTTCCTTTTGTCAGTAATGGCTTCTTGACAGCTGCACATCTTTTCAGACTCCCATCATCAAGTTGTCTTCTCACAGTGGAAGAATGCACAACACGTACATTTTTTCAGATCCGAAGCAAAAGTGGAGCTTGATTTTAAAAACTGAAGGCTTCAAGTGCTGGTTATCTGATGGTAACAGTTTTGGTGGTCTACCAGGTCTTGCACAGTTGTTAGGAGTCCCATTTTCTCTGTATCTCCAGTTTTGGAAAGTCCTGTTTTTATTACTTATGTTCATTTGACTTTCCCTTTCCTTACGCAAGTGAATTGTCTTATATCTAACCTTCTCAGAAATATCTCTTGAAAAAATTAATAACTTGTACTTAATGGCCATTTTGATGGGAAATAAACAAGGGGTGGTCTCTGAATTTTCTGGAGACATTCATTCACACCATTTTGGTCTGTGTAGATAATCAATTGTGTGTAAATTGTCTTGAAAAACAACATTTTGATGTTTATTCATATGAAGATAGCACTGATTCCAAATCTTTGGCCTGTAATCTTCATGTTTCTATGTCTTCTACTGCTTTTTTGTTAGAAGTCATGTAACTGGACCGGTTATTCACTCTTTCTTTTATCCTTGTAATGTCTGAGTCATCTTAAATATAGTGATGAGAACCACCACCACACACAGAATTTGAAAACTTTCAAACTTTCCCCGACTCCACTTTCACTTTTTCCCCAACCTTTCCTTCTTCTCTCGCAGAGTGTGAGGGGTGTGAGAGAGAGCGCGAGAAAGTGTGTATGTCTGTGTGTGTTTGTGTGTGATCACACCTCCTGGTGTGAATGCTCTTGCTCCCTTTAAGATTTCATAAGCACCAATTAACAGGAAAAGTCCTAAAAAAAGAAGCATCCATGGAGGGGGAAAATAAATAAAGAAAAATCACCCCGCTGGCCAAAGAACGGTGTAGCGCGGAAGACGAAAAGAATGACAAAACGCGCTCATTAGAATAGCGAGACATCTGTTAAAACACACTTGTTGCAGCCTCCCGCCCTCTCGCTTTCGTAAAGTGTTTGTTCGGCACGGTGCGAGGTGCGAATCATATGAATCATGTTAACCGTTCATTTGTGGTGCAATGAATGACTGTGACGATCGTGCCGTAGGCAGTCACAGTGGATACAAACCCCCTCTGCTACACACGTCCAACTTCTGTTCAACCAGCTCCAACAATCCTACACACAGAGTAGGCACATGAGTATAAGCTTGGCTTGGGTTTGGTTTGGGTGCGTCACAAGCTGTTTGTCCAAATATTAGCCACTGAAATGAATTTTGCATGGAGGATCCCTGGAAAAACTCCTTTTTTTGATGTGACATATAAACTTTACATGCACTCTGTATAGAGAAACCTAGTATAAATGCCCGTTGTGCTTACAGCCTGTCCATTCATGTTGAAGTTATGCAAAGTGTTGTTACTGCAGACAGTCTGTAGCAGAGTTATTGGAGTGGTAGATGTGGGGAAGATGATTCAACATATTGCTGTTTCTAGCTGTCAAATGAAAATGGATCAATGCAGCCTTTCAAAGTTTCTGGACCTCCAAAAAAAGTGGCTGAAGTTTTTGTTGTCTCTAAGCATTTCAGTTTGTTTGTTCCCCAGAGCAGCCATGCTGCACAGTACAGAGCAGCCAATCATAACAGAGGTTGTTTACATTTGTCAATTTTAATGACACAGGAGCATGAACAGTTGGATTCTAAATGATGGAGGGGTTGGAAAACGGTCATAGGAAAATGAACCGCAGGTGTTTTTGGGACATAAAACCACTTAAATGTTGTAGGTGGACATCAATGAAAAAAGAAAAATATGGATGGAGTTTAGATATTATAATAACAAATGCAGTAGGCACACAACAGCACAAATGAGGGATGGTTTCACAGCCTTCTGGGTCAGTTGAATCCCTTCAACCTAAACTAGTAAATATCCTAAGTATCCCTGCAGATTTTAAGCAGGGTAATGTTAAATAAAGCTATTTTTACATGTGCTTTAATTGCCAGATTTGTTAGTTTCCAAACATCTTTTCAATAAAGCTGGCTTCATACTCTGATTAGAAAGCTGTGACAAACATATCACACATTAAGACCTTTTAGCCATGAAACTGATTTAGCTAGCGAGTTAACTATAATGTCCATTAAACTGTGACATGGTAACGTTTCTCACATGGCATAATCCATTCAGTAATTATTGAATGAATCAATAGTGAATGGAAATTTTATCTTCTAACACAGTTTTCAGGTTGAATGAAGTAATAGTTTTGATTTGCTTTGTAAAAAACTTGAACTATAAATATATTTTTAATGAACTATAAATATATTTTTTTGATGCTGACATTTCCATCACACTCTCTTGAACCTCCTGCAGTGTCAGTATGAACCCCTAGGAGGATGTAAATACCTAGTTTGGAAACTCTGATGTGGACAAATTCTAAAGTGGAGTACAGTGACAAACAGTACACACAGAGTATTATACTAAAACTGTAAGCTTATAACTAACCCTTTCGTTTAATTTCTGCTGTTGAATCTGTCTTTGCCATTACTAATGCTAACTACCTTTCTGAGGAAAAAAACACAAATTGTCAGTTCAGTCACCTTTTATTGTTACTCTGATTAAACTAATCAATGAGCGTTTGCTGTTCCGAATTGATTGTGCTGATTGTGCTTGTGTGCTTGCTCTGACTGCAATAAAGGCAGAATATTCCTTCTTTTATAAAGTGATATAAAATATGGTAACTTACACAAAGATCCAATCCCACATGCTGATCCATTATACCATGAAAAACTTACCTTGCATGCATCATAACTGCTCTGGCAGCAGATTTAAAAGAGGACAAAACCAATGTTTGTGAATGTATTGCCAGTGAGATGTGAGGTAGTATGGTTAGTAGTAAGAATATAGTGTGTATAAAAAAGGCAGTGAATTTGTGGCTCACAGCGATGCTAATAATAGTCTAACCATTAGTTATACTGCAGTCCCAGTACAAAAGCAGTGCCTTACTGTAACTGTCTTTTAGACTAGTACTAGAATCACTGTAAGCAACAGTTTTACTGTCTTTACCTTTGTGACTGGAAGACCATTCTTAAAAGACCATTTTCAGAATGAGGGATGGTAAGACTGAGGGGTTTCATGTGGACACATCTGATGAAGGCATCTGATGAACGATTTTAGTGAATAATGTACCGGCACATCCATCTAATCATGAGTTGTAATGAGCGTCATGACTACCAACTCCTGTCTGAACTCATAACTTGTTTCTTGAAGTTATAAACCTGCCTGACACTAATCCTAAACTTCTTACCCTCCACTTTGGCATATCTAACATCCTGTAAGTGTCCCCTGTAGTCAGCAGTCTGCCAGGTCTTTTTTTCTGGCAGTTTTTTAGATTTTAACATTGGTCCTTAGCTTACCTTATGGATCTTTCTATTGTGTGATCCAAGCCTGAATTCATGAAACTTCTCAAAGTAGGAGAGCTAATTACTTTGAAGGAAATTTGAAGGCTGCCTTCATAAAGATTTGGTAACACATGAGCAAGTGTTGCACACCATATTTAAAAAGCAATAACTAAGTATTTATGAACAGCTTATGTCAGCACTTAAGTGAATGACATGGTATTGACATGAGGCCCTTAAGGTAAAATGCATTCATGCCAACACTTTGAAGCATCATTCCCAGGTAGGCCTCTCAAGAGGCCAGTCCAGTTCTATATGTTTTGTACAAATGTACATTTACTTTAATGAGACAAAATTTTCCTATGTGCAGCTGTCTTTAGCTGTCTTCAATAGAAATTGTTCATCAAAATAATGTAATACAGTATCTATAATAACTCAGTACTTTCACTGTTTATGCTGAAGTACCTTTAAAAAGCAAGTACTTTGGTACTTCAACACAAGTCGAAATACAGTTGTTCACTGTTCACTGTTATTGTCACTGGAGAAATATTTTTCCAAAGTATGTAGTATATACTTTTTCTAAACTGCAAAATTTGTGCTTCGTCCACCACTGTATTTACATACTGGAAAATATTGTAATCATTTTAGTTTAAAGTCTTCCTAAAAAACTGACAGAAGCTATTCAAAAATATTCAAGAAAGGCTTTTTAAATATGTTAGTTGATGCCTTCAAATGTGTTCTTAAAATTTGTTTACACATATTTGACTGCAACTTAATGAATAAGGACCAATATTGGTTATTAAAAACAACAAACGCTACACAGAATTTTAGATTAGAAACAGTTTGAAGACTCTCTGAAGTAGTGACATCGTTTTCTTGTAGGCCGGTTATATCCGGATTGATGGCAGCGTTCCATCTGCAGAGAGGATCCAACTGGTCCATCGCTTCCAGAGTGATCCAGACACCCGGGTGGCTATTCTCAGCATACAGGCAGCGGGACAGGTACATACACACACACGCACACTTTCTTTTAACAGTTTTTCCCCACTTCATTTGCACAGATTTATTTTCTGTAAAACACATTCATACGAATTTGTTAATGGAAGGTGTTTATGGAGCTCAGACATTTTTTTTCCTACCCAAATAGTCTCACTTTAAAAGTTTAAAACTTGCGTGTCACTGCATTCTGTCTCATAATGAGTTACTTTATGAGTCTTTTCATTCTAGGAGTAAGCGTATCTTCAGCCTCCTTCACATATTTTATTCATCAACTGTTCACTAAGCCTTATGGCAATAAAGGCATGAGCCAGAGCCATATAAATGGTCACTGTAGAAACCTGTGCTGTTGCTGAATTAAAAACCTTGACTTTCATGGTATACTTTCTGAATGAGCTGAACTGCCCTGCGATATTGGTGTGTACGTGTGTTGTCAGGGGCTGACTCTGACGGCCGCATCCCACGTGGTGTTTGCTGAGCTCTACTGGAATCCGGGTCATGTAAAGCAGGCGGAGGACCGCGCCCACCGCATCGGCCAGACCTCCTCTGTGCACGTGCACTACCTCATCGCCAAGGGAACCTTCGACATGGTCATGTGGGGCATGCTGAACAGGAAGGTAGGTCAGCAGCATGGAGCAGATATGTTCAAAGCTGCATAGCAGGCCAAAAGTTTGAAAGCAAGCCTAACTTTAAAATGAATCTTTGCAAGAACAGACAGTAATGTATTAACATAAAACAGAATGTTTTGAAGAAATGTAGCAATAATGTACAACAGTGTCCCTTATTTGTTATAGTTTTACTGCAGCTTGAATCACATCCACCTCTCACATTCATATGCACCTGAATGCTTGATGAACTGAATCAAATGTGTTAAAGTAGAAATTTGTAAAGAAAAAAAAAAAACAGTCAGTGAAAGTGACGGTTATGAACGAAGTGTGGGGAGGTTTTCTATATCATCGCTGTCCTGACAAAACCTTGTATCCCCAAGATGGTAACTTTACAGGAGAATGAAAATGGAATGGAAGTTGATGGAACAAGATTATTTAAAGTTATTTTGGATTTCTGTTGGTCCGTTCATCAAATTTAAAAATTTTATCCGTGTAATGGATACAAGTGCAATATTTTATATTATATTTATATTTTAACATAAGCTAAGTAGGTAAAGTGCTAAAGATTGCAAGAAAAACATCCCATTAATGGGCAGTATTAAACATGTATAAGATCATACTATGGAAAATCCTAAGGCTGAATCTCAAATGTCTCACTGCTCCCTATAGTCCCCTGTGCACTATGTCAGTTATGAAATTTTGGCTTTTACCCTCAAATATTGCACTTTATGTCCAGTATGGAATTATGCACACATTGCTGAATCCTAAGTGGTTCTTTGTCAGACACATTGTGCTCTGTTTAGATGCAGTAGTCATTATTTTAAGACCTACATACTGCACTTTGTAGGGAGAAGGGAATCATTTGAGACGAAAATAAACCATTTTGTTGGTTGTTCACAAATCGACTTAATAGTGATGCTGAATGCTCCCATACTCTGTGTCTGTAATGTATGTTAAAAGCTACAATAAGCAACATTTAGCTGTAGGAATCAGGGAGCTGTGAATTGTTAAAGCTACAATAAGCAACAGTCTGTAAGTAGTTATGAAGCCAGTCCTTGGGGGCCCCCAAGACGATCCACACTTTTGCTTCGTCCTAGGTGTAGTGGGAGCTAGGTTGGAACAAAAAAATGTACCCTGAGGACTGGTTTTAAAACCACTGGCCTAAGTAATAGAAAGCAGGATGAAAAAAGAAAAGGAATTTTACCTCCTCTTGGACTGTTGCGATGCTTAAATTCTGTTAAACTCTGTTTTATAACTTTTCTTACTACTTCATTGAAAAGTATATTTTTTTGTTCAGGAACTCAGTACTGAGTCATTTAAACAGCTTTAAAGAAGAAATGAGCATTTCTGTAAGACAGTGGTTCTGAAACCCGTCCCCAGATGGTCCACATTTTGCTCAATTTCAGCTCCAACACATAAGAATAGAACAACAATATGGACCATCTGGGGGGCCCTGAGGACTGGTTTGAAAACCACTGCTGGAAGAAACCATACAAGAATGAAACTTAACAGTAGTAAGCATGGAAAGATACAAAACTAGAAGAAGTGATTTCCCAGTCCAGTTTTAGCACATTTGAGTTCTCAACTCTGAACACTTTTCTTGTAGAAGTGTGGCTGAGATAATGACTGATTTGCCCGTATTGACTAGGAAACGGTGACAGGCAGCACTCTGAACGGAAGGAAGGATTATCTGAAGGCAGAGGAGGGAGATAAGGAGAAATGGGACTTTCTGAACTTCGCTCAGGCATGGACCCCGAGTGACTGCGCCATTGGCGACGAGGACGACAAAAAAGGCGTCTTCTTCTCACATGTAAAGCTCAGTTTTTCAAACCAGAACATTCTTATTAAATCCTGTCCTTCGACTGATGGGCTTTTTTAAATGTGAAGCAACTCATCGACCTGGTTTGTAACTTACCAATTAACTTACTTTATGATTAGTGGGCTAAAGATCTTCCACAAGGGGGAGCTATTAGCTCCGAATAGCTTTTGTAGTTTCATTGAAAGAGAGGAAGCTGACACAAACCCATATCAGCAGAACTTTATGAATACTCATATATATATATACATACAGTCACAATGTATATCTATATGAAGTAAAATATACCCTACATAAGTAAATGTCCCAAAATATGCCCTACATAAGCATGTGAACATAGAGTACATTTGATGATGCTGACAGTAAAACTACAACTGTTTACTTACAGTGACCATACTGTAGCTAGGTTGTGGAGAAAAAGAAAGAGCATCAAAAGTTTTTTTGCCTCCTTATTGTTGTTAATTCTGGTTTTTTTTTTTGGTTTTTTTTTCATTCTTTCATTTTTTCATCTTTCAATCCTTCCTTTCTTCCTGCAGTTTGAGAAAGACAAGCAGCACGACATCCGTAAATTTTTCTCTCCCACTGCGGATAAAGACAGGAAGAGGAAGAGAACGGGCGATTCCTCAGTCGCTGGCTCTCCTCCTACCCAATCACACGATCAGCTAGGAGCCAATCAAAGCCCTCATAACCCCAGCCCTGATTCTGCTGTTCAGGAAGAGGATTTTTGCCCTCAGGTGAAGCGACTTAGGCAGGCTCGTCCACTGTCACGGCGCAGTGGAGGAAAGAGAAGCCCGCTTACGCCCCTGAGCGCCCCCCGCAGGCTCTCAGCAGGGCTGCAAGTCTCCCGCCACAGCCAGAAGTGGAGCTGCAGAGTGTGCACCTTCTCCAACAGTGGCCTGCTTCTATGCTGTGAGATGTGTGAGACACCCCGAACCAAGAGAGGTACGCACGTATAACACACATGCAATCGGTGTCAGTAACAGATGACAAGCATTACAGGATACATTCTTTTATGTTAATTCATGTTACAGTTCTGAATGTGTATATATATATATATATATATGTATATATAGATGCATAAACGTGTGTGTGTGTGTGTGTGTGTGTGTGTCTATATTAAAAACTACTTCACAACAAATACTTCTTAAAATAATAAAGTAACAGTAAAAATAAATATGAACGATAATGAAATGACATGAAATTGTAGCACAATAAAAATATTTCAATAAAACACACACACACCCAGCTGTCATTGGGCGGAAGGCAGGATACACCCTGGACAGGTCGCCAGTCCATCGCAGGGCAGACAGACGGACACACACACTCACACCTAGGGGCAATTTAGTGTGTCCAGTCGGCCTGACTGCATGTCTTTGGACTGTGGGAGGAAACCGGAGAACCCGGAGGAAACCCACGCAGAAATGGGGAGAACAGGCAAACTCCACACAGAAACGACCCCGGTCGCCAATTGTATTATGTATTGAACAGGAAGCCACTGAAATGCTGCAAATACTGGAGTAATGAGTTCATTCTTCCATGTTTGAGTCAGAACAGTTGCATTCTGTACAAGCTGTAGTTTGTCTATACTGTCTATACTCTTTTGGGTAAGCCAGTGAACAGTGCCCTAATCTAAACATGAGAGAACTAAGGCATGAGTCAGCTTCTTAGCATCATGCAGTTTGAGGGCCTGACTTGGTTACACTATCAATGTGAGACTTAAAACTTAAGACTTCACCACCACATACACCTCCCTATCATCCACATCCTCTCCAACAGTAATACAGCAAGTTATGCTCCCTAAGGACCCCTGACTACTCCCAGAGAAAAAGAGCTTCTGAAGAGAAAAGGGGGAAAGTAAGGTGTTAGTGTGTGAAAATGGCTTGTTACTGTGACAAGAACAGTGTGTGGGACTGAGCAGTGTGATCCAACACTAGGGGTGTAAATTTTTGATCCAAGGATGTAACAATGCCCCCCACCGCAAACGGAAAAAGAAAGAGAAGCAAATTGTTTTGTTGTTTGTTACCAAGAGAAATATTGCAAAATGTAACACTGTTATTTAAGTAATGTTATTGGAAAAACATAATTCACTCTCTTACCTATAGTTATACTCTATAGTTACAGTGAAGTTTCTCTTAGTTACTTATAAGCTACCTAGCTAGCTGGCAAAGTAGGTGATTGTGAGATAAACATCTCACTTCTTCCATTGTAACAACTGCCCTAGCTGTCTATATCTGCTGCTGTTAATTAGGTTAACTGATTTTGTTTTGGTGTGATGTAGTGATGGGCATTGCTTTCAAATTTGATTTGAATTTGAAAAATACTCCCCAGCCAGAGAATTTTATTGAATATTATTCAAATTAATTATAGTTAAATGGCAATAAAGAGTTTCGTACACTTTTGAAAGTGTGCATGGGACTACAAGGAGCTTTGTGTTCTGACTGAGATCAGCTGCAGTTGTTTAAAAACGGATTACTTGTTCCTGCTACACAGAGAGTGTGTGTGTGTTTCTCTGTGTGTGCACTCTTTAATCCCCATATATGCATTGGTAAACACTCCCTGCAAATTTTTCTGGACCTGCCCATTGTCTGTCTTTGTGTGCCATATTGAAATGTAATTGATTTCTATGGTGTTCACAAGCACTGCTTCCCCATATCCACTAGAGCTGCATAATATGGATAAAACACTGTACTAATTATACTGCTACATATTGCCATAGCAATACTCCTTGTAATATACCATAAAGACATTAGTGAACCCTTTGTGAATCATTTGTGATCAGTGGTTTTAGTTTTTTTTGTTGTTGTTTTTGTTTTGTTTGTTTTTTGTTTTTTTTTATCCTGTGAATGCCTTAATTCTTCAAACCATCCACAAAACATCATTTATTGGTCAGAATGCTCATAGCATGCAATAAAACATTCAGTGGTTTGGTTAGAGGCTCATTTGCAAATTGCAGACTTCTGCAATACCAGTGTTCTGAGGGAATGAAAAGCCAACAATGCACACTAGTTACCAATAAGGAAATTTTGTGACTAATACACAAAATATATAGAGCTACAAATTCCAGTACTATGAGCCGATGCAATTAAATATGGTTAAAATTAAACTTCAGTAGTTTTAGTTAAATAGTACCTTACTACTGAGAACTGACATATTGTAAGAAGTTCTCACATTTTAAAAATTTTAACTAAACGGAAACTAAACAGCAGAAACAAAGTCTAAAATAGCTTTAATATTGTCGCACGAGGGGCAGAGCTTTCAGCGTACTTAAGCATTTTTTTAACGTTCTGTTCATTATCTGAGAATCACATCCAAATGTGCTTGTTAAAAGAATCTCATTCAAAAACATGAGTGTTAATGTGGTTCCACCTTTAATGCTGCAACCTTCCTGTTCTTTCAGGAAGGCTTTCGACTATATTTTAGAATGTGGATGCAGGGAATGAAATAATGCAGTAAAACAGTCAAAATAAAAACAAAAAAGAACATGCATAATGTGACTAAGAAATAACAATACAAACAGAAAAATGAAATGAAACATAATATATTTTAAATGTAATGGTGCTTGATAGACAGGCTGTCTGTCTGTTTGTTTGTTTGTTTGTTTGTTCATTTATTTTGTTTAACTCTATAGTTAAATACAATTGTGTCATCTGCATAACTTTGAAACCTACACGATACTCTTTAAAAATGTGTCCTAGTGGTTACTTGTATAATGAAAACAAAACTAGGCCTAGTACAGAGCTCTGTGGTACACCACAAACAACACGTACTCTTCAGATTGATGTTCGCCTAGACTCTAATGCATTTCCCAGGAGACCCACCCAATTTTTAAGGCATGTCATTAAAAAGTCATGATCAATTATGTGAAATGCAGCACTCAAATCTAAAAAAAAAAACAGGCATTGAAACCATAGTTATTTAAAAATATCATTGAGCAAATGATCAAGGTACAACCGAAAAAGTTGGGACACTGTGCAGAATGTAAATAAAAATAGAATGCAATGATATGCAAATCATGTAAACCATATTTGTAAAGGGAAATACTACAAAGACAACGCATCAACTGTTGAAACCGAGAAATTTGATTGTTTTTTGAAAAATAAATTCCCCCTTTTTAATTTGATGCCAACAACGCGTCCCAAAAAAGTTGGGACGGGGGCATGTTTACCTCTGTGTTTCATCACCTCTTCTTTTAACAACTCTCTTGTTGATTCTGTTCTTGTTGATATAGGATTTCAGCTGCTCAACAGTTCAGAGTCTCCTTTGTCATGTTTTTCATTTCATGATGTGCCAAATGTTTTCAATGGGTGATGGGTCTGGACTGCAGGCAGGCCAGTTTAGCACCGGGACTCTTTTAATATGTAGCAATGCTGTTGTAATACATGCAGAATGTTGTTTGGTATTGTCTTGCTGAAATATGCAAGGCCTTTCCTGAAAAAGACGTTGTATGTATGTATATATCGTTCAGCATTAATGGTGCCTTTACAGATGTGCCAGTCACCCATGCCATGTGCACTAATGCACCCCTATACCATCATGAATACTGGCTTTTGAACTGTGCACTGATAACAGGCTGAGTGGTCTTTAGCCAGGAGGACACAGTGTCATGATTTCCAAAAAGAATTTCAAATGTTGATTTGTCGGACCACAGGACACTTTTCCACTTCCCCTCAGTCCATTTTAAATGATCCTGGATTCTGTTTATATTTGGTTTCTTCTTTATGTTTTAGAGTTTTAATTTGCATTTGTGGATGCAGCGACAAACACACTGTTTTTTGTAGAGAGTGTTTTTCAAAAGTGTTTCTGAGTCCATGCAGTGATTTCCACTGTAGAATCATGTCTGTTTTTAATGCAGTGCCGCCTGAGGGTCCAAAGATCATGGCCAGCAAATACTGGCTTTTGGCCTTGTCCCTTGCATACACAGATTTCTCCAGATTCTCTGAATCTTTTAATGATATTACGCACCGCAGATGATGAAAAGCAAAAGTTCTTTTCTGTTTTATGTTGAGAAGCGTTATTCTTGAATTGTTGCACTATTCGATCGTGCAGTCTTTCACAGAGTGGTGAACCCCTCCTTATCTTTACTTCTGAAAGACTCAGATTCTCTGAGATGCTCTTTTATACCCAATCATGTTACTGACCTGTGTGTTTTTTTTAAGCATTACACAACTTTACCAGCCTTTTGTTGCCCCATCCCAACTTTTTTGGAACGTGTTGTTGGCATCAAATTCAAAATGGGCAAATATTTTTCAAAAAATAATAAAAATTCTCAGTTTCAACACTTGTTGAAACTGATCATATGTTGTCTTTGTACTATTTTCATTGAAATATAGAGTTTAAATGATCTGCACGTCATTGCATTTTGTTTTTATTTACATTTTGCACAGCATCCCAACTTTCTTGGAAATTGTATCATTTTTTTTTTTTAGCCATATCGCCCAGCACAAGTACACATGCTAGTGTTTCTGTATGGGGGAGAAGAACTCATACAGATTTACTTTGCATTGTCTGATTCTGTTTCATGGAATTAGAAGCACCTCTTCAGTGTAGATTCAGCATAGCATGTGATTCACTGTGTAATGACCTTATTCATTAGTTAAGCCATTTACTCAAACACTTTTCTTTCTCCATTCCCATTTTAATGCGCTCCTTTTATCTGTGCATTATTGGAAAGAAACAGATCCTTAATTATGACATTTATCTCTATTCATCCTGATGCACGTGTTCTGCTCCAAGAATTACTCACTAGAAAGAATTACACAATAGAAAGTTTGCTTTGATTACAGCAATTCATGCAAAGAACCTATGAACACACGCATAAACAATTGGAATATCAGACAAACAGCTTGAGGTGTCTGTCTCTCTCTTGCTCTTTTTCTCTCTCACTCACATAGCCACATCTCCTCCTCTTCCCGAATGAGCAAACCAAAGCTCCTTTTTTGCACTCCGTTAGTATGAGTAACGTTTGAGCCATTTTGTCCTTTCAGCAAAAATCAAACCACCTTGGGAGCCACAATATTGTCCATTTTACCATCTTGGCTGTAAATATGTCTTAGTATGTGCTAATGTACTAGTATGAGCTAACAAATTTTATAGAAACGAAAACACAGACTTGATTTGCTCTGCTTTAAGCTTTAGCTCAGCTGTAGCTGGTTTTCTCGCATCTCCGGCAGGAAAGGTTTCCAAAAGTGGAATAGTTTCTTGTAAAATGTCTCTCAACATTCTATTTTTTTACGAGACTGGAGTGAGCTTCTCATTCGCCCGATTTTTCTTTGATTTTTTTTTTCGTTTTACCTTAAATGGTGCCTGCTAGAACGGGCAAATTCTTATTCATTCTCATTCACCAGATTCTTGTTCGAAAAGGCCTGCAGAAGTACTATCCATTAGTTTTCTGACACTAGGACATATAGAGAGATGCCTTTGCTGTATCTGTACCTAATCAATAAATCAGTTTTTTCCATTTCCGTTTAATAAACAAACGTATTTGATGTACAGCAATGAAATGACGCTTAGGCTGGGATTTTTCTGCGATTAGATTTACAGTGGGGAGCGCCTTTCCGCAGGGGTCCGATTTTCATCTAACACCCGGGCTTGTTACAGTGGTGCACAGCAGTGGTGTTGAATTCTGCTACTTGAAAATTCAGGTGACATTTCATCAGATCCATGTGAAGCTGGCCTTTGAACAGGAAGAGGGGAGCTGGGAAAAGAGAAAAATAGTGGGGGTTGGTGGGAAGGTGTGAGGAAATATAGTGAGAGAAAGAAAGGAGGGAGACATGGGGGGGGGTGGGTGAGAAAGTGAGAAGAGAGGGTCATGGTGCGAAGAGAGAATTGAATATGAATATTGATCTTCCTTCTGCTACCTGCTTGTTCATTTCAATGGTGAAACCTAGGGAGCGACCGATATGAAGATTTTGTCAGCAGTACCGGTTTCAATTTTGAAGAGCTAAAATTTCAGATAGTGTTGGTCGATATAATTTTAAGTTGTCAAAAATATGTTATGTATGATATGTACCTCGTGTTTCACTCTGAACATTATGTAAGTATGTAAAATATACAGAAAAAAAAAGATGTTGACTACTGGCTCTGAATTCCCATGCTAATGACAATTTTAATTATGCAGGTCAATCACTTGGGACAGCTAGGTAGATGATTAGAGTAAACAGAATAACAGCTAAAATAAAGGTTTTAATATTTTTTCTAATCTTTTTTGGGGTAAAGACAGAGTGTGTATCGAGAAGCCACTCCCAGCTCTGGCATTTGTAGTAAGATTTCTTGTCCTGTGCGAATTAGTCCAACATTACCCCACATCCTGATGTAGAACTAATCCCATCCAAATAGTATTTATGGTAGTATTAGTAATTGGAGATGGCATATCGGTATTAATAGGATAGGTATCGGTATGGGATTGGTTCCCTATTCAATATCTAGTCCAGCAGTAAATTAGATATTGAATGGGGAAAAAGGAATTAATCTGATCCAATACTGTAACAAACCTATCCTGAAATAACACGCTCTCACATTGCGTTATGTCCTATTGGTAGAGGTGGGTAATCCAGGTCCAAAAAGTAAAAACCCTCCCCAGGATTTTGTTCCAACTGCTTGACTTCTCTAATTTGCTCAGACCAGCAAAGGTGTTCAGGCAGTTGGAACAAAATCCTGTGGAGGGTTTTTACCTTTTGGACCTGGATTACCTCTAGGTATTATTTACATATTTCTTCCTGTAGGGCAGTAGCGTGTTTGAGTAGTTTGAGCATGTTAACCTAGTTTTAGACTCTCAGCTGAAGTGAAGCACTTCATATAAAAATAGCTACATTTAAAGCGTAATAGTTTTTAAAGAAGAAAATTTGTGCTGATATCAGATCTGTATCAGCTGATATGTAATGTCAAACCATCTGTAATGATACTTTTTTTAAAAACAAATGAAATTAATCAATTGTATTAAATTGAAAGAAAACTGTACAACTTACGTAGCATTTAAAGGAACATTACTGGTGCTATACGTTCATAAACCCATCCTTGTATTAGCCGATTTCAGCATTCAAAAGTATGTGAAAATGCAAGCAGTATCACATAAACAATTAAAAATGTGTACTTTCCCCAAGTCTTGATTGTGCTTCTCCCAGACATTATAGACCTTGTCTTGTCTCTCAAGGACCATAATATTTGTCCTCATCTTTTGAGTCTTTGTGACCGCATCTAGGAGAGTTTTCAGAAATGGATTGCAAGATCGAGTGAAAGCTGGTCTCAATGAGGCAGTAGTTTCTTTGTCTTAGCATGTCCCATTGTGCAAAAATGCGCAGAGACTGTGGTCTAGACAGATTTGAAGCAGATCAGTCACACACACACAGCATCTGCTCAGTCCTCCACATCTCTGTGCCGAGTCTTGACTTTCACTAACAACCCAAGTGTTATTTATGGCAGTTTTATTTACAGCTGCTGTTTAGATGACCAAAATAATGAGCATGCTCTGTGGAACAGTCTGACTGTTATATTTTTTGCTTTTCATTGTTACTCTTTTTGAAGCCCAGACCAGGTCTGCAGCATGAATGTCGCTCATAAATCTGTCCTTCCTGTTTTTTTCTCTCTCTCTCAAATCCTCCCTCCACATCCCTTGTTTTAATTTCCAGTTCATAGCCCCCCTGCTTCTCCTTCCCCATCTCCCTCTCTCTCTGTCTCCAGCCCTTGCATCACTCTTTCTGACTCAGAAGACGACCAGTCCACCTCCGAAGCATCAGGCGACCGGCCCATCGCCATAACACCCCAAACTCCTCTGACCAAACAGAGCCAGCTGTCGAAGGAGGCTGAAGAAGAGAGATCCACACTTTCGCTCCAAGAATCACAAACAGACCCTTCCACTGGTAATCTCAGTTCATACTGGCAAAGCAGATCAGTTGTGCACCCACAGCATGGCTTCAGACGCCCTGCCCACAAAGTTACACAGATCGCCTGAAGTATATTGTACGCTAAGATGGCCACAGCTGTCAGAATCGTGGAAGTTAGACTGCGATTGGCTATCTGCCCATCCATGTGTACACACTTCCATGCACCGTTTTTATCAGTACAACTTTTGTTTATGAATGGTAGCAAGTCACCACTAGAAATGTTGCCTGCTCTGAACACCATGACAACAGTGAGGCTTTCAGAGACTGAAAAAAGTTCAAAATCACAGCAAACTAACCACAAAAGTTATTTAAGTTTATTGGTTTTTACCCACAATGACCTGGCCCTAAATGCCATGCCAAAACAACAGCCTGTGATTGGTTGGTTTGCATGTTAGTCAAGTTCCTGTCAAAGTAGGCAATGTTGGCCACGTTAAGCACTGAAACTTAGCAGACTCTCTGGTGATCAGTACTGAACCTTGCTTGTAAACAAACCAAGCCTCACCCTAAGTTCGGTTCAGTTCAGTTTTGTTCAGATTTATTTGTCGCCATGCACAGGGCCAGAACCTAAAGAGCAGGCCAAGACAAAGAGAGGCAAAGAAAAACTCCCTCTGCATTTGGCTATAGTAGTACTTTCCCAGTGAAGCAACGCTGTAGTTAGATTAAATATACTGCCGTCAAAAAAAGACATCTTTTTTCAATTGCTTGATTTTCACTGCAGCTTTTAAGTTGAGTAAGAAAAAATTGCGAAAGTGCTAAAGTTTTAGCCGACAAACTATCTGTTAGCTATTTTTTGAGGATGTTTTGCAACTCTCATAACAGCATCTTTCTTTGTAGAGCAGGTTTAGCATAAAGAATGATTTTATTTATTATTAGTTTTTGCTTCCAAACCATTGTTTAAAGCACATATTAAAAATCATTTTACCAATTGTGGGTTCAGCATCTCAAGGTTTAAATCCTAATGCCGACAGTAGGAGCTCAAATACGAGGGGTGTTTTTAAAGTAGTATTTTTGTCTTTTGTTCCTTGAGTGGCAAGATTTGAACAGCTTGCTATTTAATTTATTGCAAACAGACAAAAATGCTCACTTATTTAAAAATACCTTCCAAGTGAGCCATGTTTTTTTTTTTTTTGGAACATGCATGACAGAAACAGCAAACAGAAACCAACCTTTGTTTATGCTTTTAAAAATAATCACCCAATAAAAGCCATAGCATTATGGAAATGAGATGTTAACTGCTTCCCAACTAGTTGTCATTTATTGTCATTCATTAGCATTTCTTTTTCTTTTCAAGGTATATGATAACATGCAGTCAGTATATATTTGTCTCATTTGGATCTAGCCACAGGCTTCAGGCTGATGAGTGAATGGAGGAGAAAAAACACCATAAACACTGCTGCAGAATGCTGCAACTTGGGCCCTAAAAATAAACAGCCATTTTCTTCCGAAAAGCCCACCATTTTCACACATGCTAGAGTGCTTGACAGCCCTCGGTGTTGTTTTTCTTCCTGAAGCGTGCCAGTTCTCTCAGTAAGCTGCGGCTAATGGTTCTGTAATGACGCAGTGCGATGGGCCAGACTGAGATGGCTGTGCTATCTTAACTTTTTACAATACATATTGTCAGCCCAGTGGCAACAGTCCATCAGTAGGTATTGTCAGTACAACAGCAAGAATTTGCAACCAGGTAAAAACCTGCTTGGTGACTTATAATCGAGTTACCATGGTAACAGCTTTTAAACATTGGTAACCTTTTAAACATTGGGTGATATCCTACACTAATACAAACATAGATGATGTTCTAGAAATTCAGTTGCGCTGGTTAAGCATGCTCTGAGCTGCAGGCAGATATCATGCCTGTACAAAAAGCCACATCTATGGTACAGTGTTTTATTAGGACATGTTCACATCACAACGTCAGATTTCAGACTGAAAAACACCTTCAGTCTCTGAAAAATACGAGTAAAAGCATGTCTCAGCTCTTGTTCATCAGGCAAAGTGGGTCATTTCAGGTGCTTTAGGTGAAATGGCTTCAGAGGAGAAGTCAAAGGGCTAAGCTGAGCGGCCACAAACTCTCAGATGGTAAAGTCTGTGTAACATTCACAATTCTGGTCTTTCTTAATAGACAAACAAATATTTTACTTGAATACGAGGTTAATTGCACAGGCCTTATCCACACTATAGTAGTTTCTGCCACCGACCCTCCACCCACAAACTGACATGGACCGTCTTATGTGTATTAAATTATTCAACAGTAATTTTAGATAACACAGTCTGCTTGATTGAGAAACATTCTACTGTCACAGCACTTGTTCTATAATAACTGGATCATTCAAGTAATATTTTTTTCACTGTAGTTAATTGATACTAATTTTCTACTGTAGCACGAACAAAAACGGAAGACAGATACGTTAGATAAATTCTACAAGATGTTTAACCTGCAGTCCCTTTGGTCAAATTCCGAAGAAGAGTGCAACAGCAGGGCTACACCAAATTCTGAACCTGTCATTGCCTCTAAAGACACTTTTTGGAGTGTCAAATTAGAATTGGTCATTTAACCAGGATGTATAGACACAATCTCAGGTATTGACCACTAAGTATTATATGTACAGTACTGTGCAGCCAAAGACCACCCTTCATTTATTCAACTTCCAGTCAAAACAGCCATTATGTACAAATTATTCATTTTTTTCAGCAACAGGGAAAAAGACAAAAGCATATATTTAACAGTAAATTTCAGACAAGAATTTCAGTATTTACAGTGTCTGTTCAAAAACATAAAGGCATATTTTTTTCTACCTGTCCAAAGTTCAGTCTTGGAAGTTGGTTGCATTTTCTGCTTCTCACAATCCATAAAATTCCAGACACACTCAGTGATGTTGAGATCTGGACTCTGGGGTGGTCATTCCATTGTTCTGAGAACACCAGCAGCTTCTTTGTTTTATTTGCAGTTTTTTTTCTTTTGTGGCTATTTCGTTTTTCTCGGTAACAGCTTCTTCACAGCTACACATCCTTTCAGACTGCAGCATTGAGTTGTCGTCTCACAGTAGAAGGATGGACATAAAACCCCTGTATATTTTTTTCAGATTTGAAGCAAGAGTGGAGCTTGATTTTCTCTCCCATCGCTCAGAGATGAAAGCTTTAAGTGCTGTTTATGTGATGGTGACAGTTTTGATTGTCTACCAGGCCTTGCATGGTTGTTAGGAGACCCCTTTTTACCTTATCTTTTAATCATTTTTGAACTCTAGTTTTGAAAACTAATTTTTTCATTAAACTTTCTTCTCCCTTATGCAAGTGGATTATCTGATCTCGTTTAGAAATATCTCCTCCAAATGTGTAACTTCTACTTAATAGTTGTTTTGACTTGAAATTAAATTAACGAATCGTGATCTCTGACTTTTGCACAGTACTATACAATGTAAGGGGTGAACTTCATACCCATTCTTACTGTAAGAACCATCTCTTTTTTTATCAAGTCAAAAAGGTGACAATGTATTAAAGGCATAATTCAAGCCTGTTCTCCACAGGCTGGTTTGAGGACAGCAGTGATTTAAACTTATTCATTGGAATAACTAAGTTCATTATGGTCAGCAGTATCTGATCCAGGGTCAGTCCTCCAAAATGAAGTTGGTGTTTTAAAGCGTTTCAGAGCAGAGCTGTTTTTAGATGTTGTTAATAGGTTTGTGTGGTTAATGAACGAGAGGATGAGCAATGAGGCAGTAGAGGATGGAGTGATTTTGCACTCGTTTACTGATATAGCCGCTAGTCGTCTCTTTTCTTTTTCCCTCGTTGACCTTTTCCTGATGCTGTTAGTGTGATTGAGGCACAGGCAGTAATGATCATCCCTCCTTCTCTCCTTCCCCCTTCCTCTCCTCCTTTCCTCCTTTTTCTCTCTCTTGGCTAGATAATGATGGCAGTGGGTGTAACCCTGTAGATGACTCTCTGCCCGTGTATGACAGTCTGAAGTTCTGTGCCAGCAAAAATACCGACAGGATCTACATCTACAACCAGGTAACACACACACACACACACACACACACAGTGGTGCCTTCATTTTTCCCTCTTCCGCTCTCTCCTTACACAGAGAATCCAAACTAGACCAGATTAATGAGCTTTGTTCCCTTTATCACACTTTATCCTTTCTTGCCATCATTCTTTTCCCTGCCACTAAATCTCACTCTCTTTCTCTCTCCCTATTTTTCTTTCTCTCCTTAGCGCACTCACTTCCTCTTATCTTTGTCTCTCTCATATCTTCTTTCTCTCTCCTTCTCTCTCTTTTTTTCTTTTTCTTTTTCTTTTGCTCTCCTTTTTTAAAGATGTATTAAGTATTGATAACTGATATATTAAAAGGTCTACGTCCTACATTTGTCTTGCATTTAATTTTTCACTTGAGGTCCACTTATAACGTTTCTGTGGGTTTATGTACCAAAACCAGTCACAATTCATCATTGCATGACAATTTTCCAACCTCTCTTTATCCCTTAGAGTTAAACAGGCCGCGCCTTTAAGACCAATATATGTAAATGATCTTTGTTCTGATTGGCTGCCCTGTATTGCACCTCATTTCAAAAAAGCACTCTGAGCTGAATCAACCCTTAGAACAGGCATGTCAAACTGGGGACCTTCCAGGCCAAAGTGCTGCAGAGATTAGGGTTTACCCTCATCTACTGCTCTGAATTCTGTTCATGAAGGCCTTGCTAATTAGCTGATGAGCTGAATCAGGTGTGTTTAATGAGGCAGTGTGCTGAAGTATGCAGTGTTTTGGCCCACATGGGCTGGAGCCTGACACATGTGACACAAGTTCAACATGAATGGGCGGAGCTAAACTGCTGAAGGCTGAATAGGCGGATATATGTAAATGAGTTCTAATGACATCACAGATACGATGAATTTAAAACAAGCCGTTTTGCAGCTTAGTTTCCATATATGGACTGTATGGACTGCGGAGTGAATGATACTGTTTGAAACTTTGAGTGTTTACATATTACACACACAATACTTTATTTAAAAAAGGGAAGGAAATTCTGTTTTCCATGGTCTGAGCCCTTTAAAAAACATGTAAATCTCTCTGTCCCCCATCTGTCTCTCTTTCTCTGTCTCTGTCTCTCTCTCCCTATTGGTCTCTCTGTCTGTTTTATCAATTTGTCATTCTCCTCCCTACCACTGCATCCTTCTCTCTCAGTCTCTCTCTCTCTCTCACTCTCTCTCTCTCTCTCTCTCCCCATTTTATCTCTCTCTCTCTATCTCTTTCCCCCTTCAAGTCTTGCTCTTTTTTAATTACTGTTGTTATCTTTCCTACCACAGTATCTCTTTCTATCTCTCGGTTGCTCCTTTCTTTCTTTAATTCTTTCTCTCATTCTTTTGTCTTTCATTCTCTTTCATCGCTCCTTACTTTCTTTCATTCTCTCTGTCCTTTCTTTCTTTCTTTTTTTATGTGTCTGCATGGCTTTCCTCTCTATCTTGCTTTTTCAGTCTGTCTATCTCTCTTTTTATCCCTCTCTTGTGCTCTCTTTCCACACTGGCTGTGTAGACCGAGCATGCCTATCTCAGCGGAGGCTAAATAAAATGTTCTCTCAAGTTGAAATTGCGTGCCATCATTTATGTTGTCTCCACTCGGCATTCCTGAACCTCTCTGAAGCCGTTTTAAACAGGAGGAAATATGAGCACAAGGGCCTTTAATTGACTTAGATTGAGAAATATTATCAGAGTTAGATATTTAATAAGACTTTTTCCTCTGGCTATTTCAGCTCACGAGTGATGAATGGAGGGGCTGCGGGCAGAGCTCGGGAACAGGGAAAGAAAGGCAGAAGTAAATGGAGCAAGAGTGCGAAAGAAAGACGGAGACAAAGGGAGAGAGACATAAAAAGGCAGAGTAAAGAAGGTAGACGGAGAGAGAGAGACGGACAAACTGAGAACAAGAGACAAGACAGGTTCAGAAATGCCTGCAGTGAATTCAAATGGAAATGATTCAGTGCTGTTATATATCATATACCTAATAACGTCCGAGGTGGCCCATAGACGATGCACTTCCTTACGCTAACGCACATTCATGTACAAAGCTTGAAACAGCATATCAGATTATGCTAATTCAGAATCATCAGGCTTCTCGGAAGGATGATCAGACTGCCTTCCCCGAGCAAGACAGAAATTGTGTTTTACATGCATTAGAGAGAGAGATTTGTGCACAAATGTCTTTAGCTCTTCATGGCGTTAGTTCTGTAGGACTCCCTGCTGTCTCCTCTAGCAACAGCAGCAGCAGGGCGGTGTTCTGCACCATCAGCAGTTGCACAGGGAGAGAAGAAAAGAGAGGGGAAAAGAAGGCTTTTTTGTTCTTATATGGCTTTGGTAGAGGGCGTTTGTATGTGTGTGAGTAATGGAGCATTGCAGATCTACAGGAAAAGGAACAGCCCTGCAGCAGCTGCTGGTACATAGCATCCCAGTCACTTGTAATAGCACCAGGTCTGGATGCAGGCAAAAAGTGGCCACTTAAATGTGGAATTCCACCAATTTCTGAAAATGTCTATAGTCAATGAATAAAACAGTCCGATTTACACAATTTTGCACTAGAGATGTGCCTTCCAACTAAATCTGATACTTGAATATCTATAATAGTTGATGAATGCATATCCAGGTAACCTCAGGGAGGGATAAACAATGAGACGAAAAACAAAAACTAAAACTTGGCTGAAAATAATTTAGGGCTGTAGGCTTACCTTTTCAGATGACAGTGCTGATTTTGCACAATTTTCAAGTGTAGTGCAGAGGACTACACTTGAAAACATGTTTTTATTATTCAAAAACAAAGGGAAAGTTACCCTTTAGTAATCCCGCAATGGGGGGGTTCACCGCCACATTTAACCCATTTGTGCAGTGAAAAACCCACATACACACCAGTGAATGCACACACACTAGGGGGCAGTGAGTACACTCGCCCAGAGCTGTGGGCAACCCTATCCACAGCTCCCAGGGACCAGTTGGGGGTTAGCCTAGTTAGCCTAGTTAGCGATACAGCCACGCCAACCCGGCCACAACCTTAACAACACATCCTTGGCTACGTGTTCACGCTCAGGCACTCATGTTTCAGAGTAGCAAAGTATAACATACTTCCTTGTGAATATGAGGAAAACCATCACGTTTCACTGAATTGTTAGCCTGCATATTTTCTCCGTCTTCCCGTAATGAACTGTAACAAATACTCATAGTGAATTCGGTATTTGAACACTTGCATCTTCAACAGTTAACCGAGTACTTGTGTACTCATGCGCATCCCTATTTTTCAGTGTTTCCTTCCTAAGTTTCCTTCTTTGGTTTAGCACTGGAGCTACAAGGCTAAAATTGCTAACAAACACTAGAAGTCAATAGTCATCCAAATCACACTGCACCAGCTTAGACACACAGTCTTGTTTTTGTGGTTTAGGTCACAGTATGACTTGCTGTGGACTACAAAAATTAACAGAACTTCTTCGAAGTTACCAGTGTAACGAAAATAGTTGATGCTGTCAAAATGTGACGCATTAAGCTTGAACTTGCATGTGCAGAAGTTTACACATGTGAAGTGTACATACGACTAAACTTGTATCAAAACTTGAAGCTCGCCTGTGCAGCAGTGCGGTTAACATGCTGTGGCTGGAGACGGAAAACATTTCTTTATTATTGTCATTATTTTACGTTATTCTTTATTATTAAAAGAATTTGGACAGCAGACATGGAACAGAAAGACCACTTGATTGACTTCTTTAGATACTTCTTCAGTTTACGTTCTGAATGGCAACTGTTGAGAATTATTGTAGTTTGAGAATTGCAGTGGCTACTTTGTCAGTCATCTATGCAACAGGATTGTACAGCAAATACACATGACTTTTTTTATTAAGCTGCCTCGGTTATTCAAAAGCGAAGGGGAATAATAAGCCACTGCGGGTTTAAATCATAACCCAGTCAGTCTAACAGTAACGAGAAGCAGTCCTCGTCTTCTACATGAGGTAAATGATTTTTTGCTCAGTGGATAATGTACGGACATGTTGGCTTGTCAAGAGAACGGTGAACCTTTCTAACTTCGGTTCTTAACCTAGCCGCACTCCTTCAGACTTCCCAGTCGCTTCTGTGGCGCATTAAGGCACTCGTGTTTTGTAGTAGTGTTAGCAGAGTAACACTATACAGATCTCTCATTAGCCATTCGAACTGCTAAACACTGACAGACTGCCAGGCTAAACACTGAGACATAACGTTTGTGCGATGTAACTTTTTTCAGCGTCAACGTTTAACATTTACAGTTTTGAATTTGAGTTAAAGTTGATACTCTGAGAATTTCTCATTAGCTCTTGACAGTGTCAACTACTTTCGTTTCGGTGATTGCCAAGACATATGTCATAATGTTTGGTGTCATGCCTGCCAACTAGAGTACACAGCAAAAATTAGCATGTGACATAAGCAGTCATGACATCAAACATTATGGCAGGGGTCAGCAACTCGTATGTTAAGAAGAGTCATTTTGTCCCGTTTCAACAAAAATCAAGCCACCTTGGGAGCCACATGTTATGTCCATTTTATTGGAGTAACATTTTACTGCCTTGGCTGTAAATATGTCTCAGTGTGTGCTAGAATAGGCTAAAAAATATAATATAAATGAAAATCAAGACTAACTTTGCTCTACTTTAAAAGTAGAGTGGTTTCTTCTAAAATATCTCTCAACGTTCAACTGAAGTCAGCTTGTCATTTACCAGCTTCTTGTTTGAATTTTCCAGTTCCACCTTAAATGGTGCAGCAGTTACATTCTGGCACCTCAGGCACCGTTTAAGGTGGAACGGGAAAAAGCTGACGAGTAAAGTTTTTAGTTTTTAGACTTTTTAGTGGCTGACAGTTTCTCGTTGCGAATTAAACATATCAGGAAACCAGCTGCAGTGCTTATAAATGCAAATTAGTCTGTCCATTGTTCTCTAAATAATTAGTGTTTGTCTTAAATCTTTCTTTTTCTTGCCATTTTGTTAGCTGTTAGCTAGGTGAGATTGTCTGCGTTGCTATGTGACCAGCAGTCTGTGCCCTGATCTTCAGAGTTAAGGGTGAATTAGTAGTTGTACATTAATTTCGTGTTTAAGATGTTTTATTTTTTAAAACTGTGTTAGAATGATCAGAAAAGCTATATTTTTACTGCTAAAGAGGATTCATTTATTTTGACCTAAAAATCTAATTCTGCTGTGGAACCACAAGGGAGCAGTAAAAGAGCCAAATGTAGCTCCAGAGCCGCATGTTGCCGACACCTGTGGCATCTTATGACATCTGCTATGACAGAGTCAGAAGTGTTCACAGTGTTGGTGATAGAAACTAGACATCTGAAGACAGGTGTATGGGTCACCAGTGTTGTCTGCGAGGGGTCAGTGTGACTGCGGCTTTCATTTTAACCAAGTTTTTTTAACAGGCTGTTTACACATTATATTAACTTGTTTCATGTATGAATTGGATCTGGATATACTTTCACTGGATTCCATTCACATGTATGCCCAGTGTGACCAGATGAGATCAAAAAGATTCAAAATGAAAAGATGCGAAAAGGCTGTGGTCCACCATTATTATCATCATTATTATTATTATTACCACCATTAGCAATACAAAATGAGTTACCCCTGGTTGTGTAAGTGATCAGTTATTTGCAGACTGAGACCAACTGATTAAACAAGTGGAATCAGGTGTGCTTCTGTTTGATTAGAATGAACACTTGCAGCCACACTGGCCCTTTGTGATTGGTGACTCTTGGTTTAGTGCCTCTGAAAGCTGCATCACAGAAAGTCATTACACAGAAAGGTTATGAATATGTTCCCTAACGCGTGAGACTTTTACAGTAGTTTTGAGAAAAGCTTTTGGCCTTAAAAAAAGTGAAGAGGTGCATGCAGAGTGTTGTATAGTAGAATAGTACCCCCAAAAAAACCCTTTTCCCCCAGATTAACCATGATTTTATCATTGTCAGTATTACTTATAATTCTCAAAAAACATGTTTTGGTTTACTAGTTTACAGTGGGATGAACATCACACATGGGTTTGCAAAATTATAGATAAGGATGTTGTGGATGCCTTTCAGGAACTACTGAGGTACAGCTACCTCCTATCATGGGATTTAGGTTTGTTTTAACTAGTAATAAGTGATGAGTATACTTTAGAGCTTTAGATGATAGAAGTATCGGTGGCCAGTCATTTTATTAACTTGTTGTCTGCCCCTCAGTTTAGACAAAACTGTTTTCTCATGTAGGATATGTTTGTTATCAGTTTCTGGCCGTAAACTTCATACACACATTTCCACGCCTACCAGTGCTGCAATTCCCGTTCCATAGAAGGAACACTTTTTAATATCTTGATGCATACAGAATTGAATTCAGTATTTAGTTGATGTGTGTGCTCGTAAGTGTGCGTCTATCATGTAGAATTTTCAATGGCTTTAAATGCGGCTCAGCCAATCAAATTTATAAACTAATTATACATTTTATGATTAATATTTTGATGGGTCATGTTAGTCTCGCTGTTGCATCTTAACCTACATGTAACATCGTAATGAATGAATTATGCTGACATTTTGCAAAATCATAAAATTCCCTTTTAAGTAATCTTAAATGGACTTTATTATGTGGTTTCGTGGTTAGATTTCTGGGTTTTTGGACTTCAAGATGGCCATACTTATGCTGTTGCCCCACATAAGCAAGTCTTGAGATTACTTAATCAATGCATCCCAAAACTACTGCTTTACTACCACTGCTGTCCTCTTGGTTTGTTGTATATAAAATATATAATATAAACAGCTGCTGTTTATATAACATATATAAACATACATAAACTGCTTATGTCTAATGTTCCTTCTAGAGAGAGAGAGAGAGTGAGAGATCCCTTAGGTTCTGGATGATCTTTATGTTGTATTTTTATGTGGGGTGTGTGTGTGTGTGTGTGTGTGTGTGTGTGTGTGTTTTCTCTCAGGATGGCCTCCCACTCAATTGCAACTTCATTCCTTTGGATATCAGAATGCAGAACTGGGAGGATTTGCCTCCAGAATTCAGCCGCACTGAGAACAGAAGACATGTGAGTTCCTGTGTGTGAACAAAGAATGTGTTAATCAACATGGCTTGACTAAATGTCTGCAGCAACAGTATCCAACTGACTGAGTCTCCATTTGTTTAGCTCCTGATTATTACACTCCAGCTCTGATCATACAAACTTGATTCTCTTGTTCAGATGTGTTTAATTAAGAGGCTGTTGACAACCTTACATTAACTTGTTTCTAGTATGGATCGGCTTTGGATATAAATTTAATGGATTCCATTTACATGTATGCCCAGTGTGACCAGATCAGATCACTTTTTCCCCGTTACCATACAAATAGACAAACTCATCTTAAACAGCTTCATTGACTGCGGGAAGTCTCTTGGTTTCAAGATAATTCTAGCCCTGCGTCCTCCATCTTCCGTTTCCTTGTTTATCCTCTTACCTGCTAGTTAGCATTCGGGAGACATATTTCCGCTTTTGTAAATGAGTCTGGATGTAGCAAATGCGTTCTGTTTACACTTGTATTGGAGGCGATCAAGATCTGTCTCTGACCACCTCCGAATGTGGATTTAGTGATCTGACAACAGTTGCATCCAGGGTGTTTGACTACTGCTGAACAACTTAGAGAAAATAGCTAATGGTGATTTTCCTGATTATTGTTTTGACTGATTTTAAATTAGAAATATCTCCTCTATTTTAAGGTCCGTACCTATTTGAAGACCAGAATGTCCGCTTAAGACTCTGAAGCGCTGAAAGTAGTGCGCCAGCTGGCCAGTTATTTGTGGTTGTGTTGTCGTTGTCTTATGATGTGGGTGTGGCTTCTTATTAGTCTTAGTTACTCGCAGTTCACAAGCTAAGTGTTATTAGGTAACAAATGTACCGCTTAAAATTTGTTGGCTCCAATTAAAATTGTGATTTAAACATGATAAATCTTTCAGCCCAAGTTTACACACAGTTTTTTATGCAGTCAGATGAAAGCCGAACGTGATCCAATCAAAAATGCATGCATTTTGATGTAAGGTGTGAACAGCCTCCAAAAGTTGGTAAAGAACTGCTTAGTAGAAGGTGCATTATCAGCAAAGCTTGTGAGGAGTAAGAGCACATTACTGCAAACCACTGGAATATTTTGGAAAAGTTGCTTTAAACTAGATGTCAGTAAAACCTAACTGCTTCCATACTTTTGACCTTTATTATACCTTAAAAAAAAAAAAACAATAACAACAACAGTGGGCTCCTGAGTGGTGGAGCTGGCTAAGAAAGGATCCACAGCCATTTGTGATCAGCAGCAGTGTGAAAAGATAGTGTCTGGCTTCAGGCTTTTCCGAGAAAGCACGCACTCTCCTTCACACTCCTAGATTGGTTGGCGGCGTATGATAGTGGAGATTCAGACAGTCAGTGGGAAATGGCAACAACCGGCAATTGGGGAAATAATTAAAAAAAAAAAATTATAAGTGTCAAAACATACCATTAGTAGAGTACTGTTGGAGCATTACAGATATGGATGAACAGTAATGTTGAGGCTGTCGGCACATAATTGTTGGACAAGACAGCTCTATAAAGTGTAAATCCCTGTGGAGTCTGATCCTGGAATCCAAGGCTAGATTGTGTCTTTTGTGTGTGTGTGTGTGTGTGTGTGTGTGTGTGTGTGTCTGTGTGTGTGTGTCTGTGTGTCTGTGTGTGTGTGTCTGTGTCTGTGGCATTAGGTGGTGCGATTTGTGCGCGAATGGAGTTTTCTGACGGCAATGAAGCAGAGGATGGTGAGGAAGAGCGGACGGGTGTTCAGCAATCCGGTACTGCTGCTGGACGAGCTTACACACACACAGCGCAGGCACAGCAGCACCAAGAGGCAAGAACATGCACGTACACACAGGCATGCACACGCGTACATAAACACGCACTAACTACCTTATCGCTAATTTTTGTTAGCTATTCTCTAGCTTTTCATCAGTGGTCAGTTTCTGACCACAGAGCCACTCTTGGCTTGATGTTTTTGGATGTTGGACCACTCTCATTGTAGCAGTGACAGTAATGTGTGTTCCAGCGTTACACACGCTACACACTGTCAATATCACTTCAGTGCTGAGAATGGTCCACCTCCCAGATAACTTCTGGGCAAGAGCGGTCCTGGGTTCAGAAACTGGCCAGTGATGAATGGATCAAGACAAATTGCGCATGACGGCAGATGGGCTACAGTCTGTAATTGTACGCTTGTGTAGTCGACATATAAGGTAGGTGAACCTCGTGAAGTGATAAGTGAGTGGTAGTACAAGGTAGGGGCTGCACTGTCTAGTCAGCTATATAATATACATTAGCCGGCACTTCGGCAGCGCTCGAGTCTTCAAGAACAGTGGCTGAATACAGTTGTGGAAAAAAATAGTAGTGAGCCTCCAGGAGAGCAAATTTTCTGCTAAAAAAATCAGAAAGTAGTGTGGAAATGAGATGAAACCAATTCCACTGTCAACTACAATTTGTCTAAGGCTGTGTTCATAAGACGTTTTTTGGTATCTGTCCAAAAAACACTTTGATGCGCGTTGCTGGTTTGTTATGGTCGTGTTTGTGGGTGGAGATCGAAGAATGAGTTTCGCGTATACAAACTTGAAAGCTCATAAGCAAAAGCTGCTAGCGGTCGCTGTTCTTTTTCATAAAATGAAGCAAAAAAGACATATATGATACCAGTCACTGTCCAACTATGTGAAAATGTGGATTGTTTAGCTCTGAATGTGAATTGAGAGCAGTGATTATGTTCCTTTATTTTGTTCAACATCGTCATGCCTATATGAAGCCCTGCCCCACACCATTTCCTATTTGCTGACAGATGGCACATTCTGTCAAAAGTTCAGCTTTTTCAGTGAACAGTGGGCGTATTTTTCATGTGCCATCGTTCTTGCCAACACATCATTTTTATTAAATCAACAGCAAGAGATCCATTTTTGACGGATACAAAAAAGCCAAACACTATGCTGAGCTATAGTCTCGCAAAGCAGACCTCTGGCTATCGCTAGAGCACAGGTTCCCAAACCTCTGCCACTCATGTCCCTCACAACCGATCACAAAATCTTTCACAGCCCACAAGAAGATTTAACTAGCTTGATAGTTTCAAATGCATACATAACACAATCATCAATGCTGCCTGTCGAATTTTACTTAAATTAATATTCACACTACATAATAAACACCAAAAAAATCCTACAATATTGTTTGTAGCCGTTTATCCATGGTGACTGAATACTATACCATTGAAAACAGAAACTGTAAACACATCTAGCTAGCTGTGTCTGCCAGCTTTTGCCTGACGTTTCATGTTTTATTTTTACAAATAATATTTTAAAATTATTGGTTTAGTTAAATGTCACCAGCAGCCACCACGGCCCACAGGTTGAAAAACACTGCGCTAGCTCAGTGTGAGCAAGAACCGCCAACACTGACAAGAAAGGGCCATTTGACTGACATGCAAAACAACCAAACACAAACACCGGGATGCAGGCAACTGCCAGAACAGCGCTACAACACGAACAGAGCCGGAATAAAAATAAAAGTGGTATGTGCATTGGTAAATACACAAGGATACCTTGTTTACTTACTGAATGCTTCAGACAAAACTTTTGAATAACTTTGACAGGATGGCTGTTAACTTAGCAGACTTTCAGTTCAGCTACTACACTGGACTCCTACTAGTGACTAGCTAGTTTGTTTCCTAATAAAAAAGCAATGAGAGACAGCATTCTGATGTCAGGTCATCTTGCCATTTGACGGTTGATGTCTTTCTCGGTTTTTTTCTAAATACAATAAAGTTGTGGCAGTTTTCATGTATCTAAAGCTTACTATAACCTGAAATAGTACCAGGGCTTGGATCAGCACTGCATATATCTCTCTGGACAACATTGCATATTGTTGTTGTTGCGCAAAAACCTCCTATCTACATTTGTTTAGTTGTTACTTTTTGGAATTATATGAAAACTCCAGTTACCCTTTACATTGTGTTAAAATTTCATGATAAAAGCACTAACAGAAACAGTCCAAAATTACTTGGAAAAAATAATTTTCCATTAACCTCCAGTGGAATTTAAGAAGGTTTTTTCCTTCTCCTGTAAAGTTACCATTTTGGAGATAGAAGGTTTTCTTCCAGCAGTGACCAGGTTTTTCCTCCTATTCCTTTATGTATTTGCTTTAGTATCCTCTTTTCTTTAATGTAAAATGCATGTCTGTCTCTGCCATGTTCTGTTTTGAAATGTGATGTCCTGAAAACGTGACATCTTGTTTCTGAATTCAAGAAAATCAATAAGTGCAGTTAAACAAAATAATAGTACAAAAAGAAAAAAGTCAAGGCAGATGTTCGTAATAAAGTGGACGGTAAGTGTACGTACAGGCACATGCCTACATTTCTATATCTCTTTCACTGTCTCAGCCTCTGTCTGCTTGTCTGCATGTGTATCCATCACTCTCTCTCTCTCTCTCTCTCTCTCTCTCTCTCTCTCTCTCTCTCTCTCTTTCTCTTTCTCTTTCTAGCTATCCGTCTGTTCCCTTATGAGTTTAGCTCCGTTTCTCTGCCTGTCTGCCCATCAGTCTCTCTGCTCTTCTGTTTGCTCGGCTCTATCTCTCCGTCTCTGTTCTTTTTCTGTCAGTGTCCATTCTAGTTCAATCTTTCTCTCCATCTGTTTACTCTCTCTCTCTTTCTCTCTCTTTGCGTACAAATGTCTATTCCTGCTATCTCGCTCTGCCTGTCTGCCTGTCTGTTTCTGGCTGCTGTCTGTCACTCTTAGTTAAGTTGCCCGATATGTAAGTCAGGCTTATAAGTGATTATTTTCTAGAAGAGCCTGCTGTGCTGAACCCACACACACACACTGGTACCCAAACCCTCACATGCAGCTTTCATATAGTCCCTTTCATCCGTTTGTGTGTGTGTGCATGTGTGGTGGTCTTTTGAAGGTAAGGCCCCCTTGACACTTCCATACAGGACTTCCAAACCTTCAAACTGTAAGCTCTTTGATGTGAGCCCCGCTTCCTCTACCAGTGCACACTCACTCACTCACTCACTCACCTACTCTGTTTCTCTCTTTCTGTCTCTCTCAGGTATCTCTCTAAGCAGGAAGTGGCTCAGACCTCCCTCAGTGCTGCCCAGAGAGAGGGCGGAACCGTACGCATCATCAATAAGGACAGCTTCCCCTCCAAGAGGAAATCGATAACCAAACCACTCGACAAAGCTGACAAGTATGAACAGACTTAACACTTTTGAAAACACAACATGAACACAATGACTACACTTGCAGATATATGAGTAGATAATCCTAATTAGTGTTAGACAGTCAGTAGATTGTAGGGAGACATATAACATGATTAGCATGCATGATCATGATCTCAATCCCAGTTCTCTATTTGGAACAGCAGGTGAAATTAGTGATATGATGACCTGCATTATATTTGTTATATTAGTCATGGAAAAATGTATTTTTGGTTAATTAGCTCAGTCTTACATTAAAAATATGGACGAAATCTAATGTTTTAACAGAAGTAAAACAAAAACAAAAAAGCCACTTGTGTCATAATTATTTCCACTCCATGAAATTCTTATGAATAAAATAGTCTTTTTTAAGATCTATGACTTTTTAAAGTCTACCTGAGTGTCCAGTGGTCATCTATGACTTCTTGTTTCATTGGGGTTTAAATATGAGGTGAAATCGAGCCCAAGTCCCTTAATCATTCATCAGCATCGGCAAGATTAGAGAATACACAAAGAAATTAAGACAAAAGTTGTTGACCTTCATAAATCAGGCAGTGGCTATACATATAAATAGCTACATATCTGACAATGCCGATCTCCACTGTTGGGGCAATAATTAAGAAGTTTAAAGCAACCGGCGCTGTAATGAGGCGGATGGTTTGAGTGATAAAAATCTCAAAGGATCACAGTTGCAGATTTGCAGAGAATGGCAGCATTTTGGGGTCACCAAGTCTCCCAAAGTACAACTTGACCCTTCCTTTATTTCCAAACTATTTGAAAGGCGTGCCAGAAGAAAACCTTTTCTTATAACTAACCGTAAACGTAAGCATCTAAAGTTCATTAGACTCTACTGGAACTTTGACAAGAACCAGGGTCTATGGTTAGATAGGAAAACAGAATAATGACATTTTTGGCAACAAGCGTTCAATGTAGGTTTGTAATAAAAAGAAGACAGTTGTACAGACAAGAACCTCATCCCAACTGTTGAGTATGGTGGAGTATCTGTGATGATTTTGGGCTGTTTTTCCTTAAAAGGCCCTGGGAACTTGGTTAGGATTCATGGCATCACTTGACATACCAGAAACCTTTTTAAATAAAAACCTGTCTCTGCTAAAAAGCTAAAACTGGGTCATTGTTTGATCTTCCAGCAGAACAATGATCCAAAGCATGCATCCAAAGCCACACAAAAATGGTTCAATGACCACAGAATCAAGCTTTTGACATGGCCGTACCAGTCCCCTAACCTAAGCCCTATTGAAAACCTGTAGGGTGAGCTGAAAGAGAGAGTCCAAAAAAGAACCTAGAGCTCTGGATGATCTGGAGAGACTTGGTTTTGAGGAGTTTCAGATTCCATGCTCTGTGTTCTCCAATGTTATCAAGCGTTACAGGAGAAGATCCATTGGCAAAAGGAGGTTGCATAAAGTACCAAATGGGGAAGTGTGAATAATTGTGGTTTTGTTAAAAAAGAGTTTGTATAAGGTTTTTGTTTTAGGCTTTAACTAAATTTACTTCAAATAAAGATTGGATGTCTTTCATATATTACTGTGCAAAAGTGGGAGACCACTCTTAATGGCCATTTTTACTGGAAATTAAATTAAGTACAAGTTATTCATTTTTGAGGAGGTGAGATACAAGATAATCTACTTGCGTAAGAAAGGAAAGGTCAAAGGAAATAAATGAAACAGAAGCTTCAAAACTGAAGGTAAAAATAAACAGATGAGAAGGTAGAGAGATGCGATTGCTATAAACTGTGCAAGACCTGGTAGACCACCCAAACGCACCATCAGATAAACAGTACTTAAAGCTTTCATCTTTGAAAAAGAGAAGAAAAACAAGCTTGCTTCAGGTCTGAAGAAATCCACAGGCGTTTCTGTCCATCCTTCCACTGTGACAAGACAACTCAGCACTGTGGGTCTGAAAGGATATGTAGCTGTCAAGAAGGTGTTACTGAGAAAAAAGAAACACTGAAACTGAATATGTAAGATATGGAGTAAGGTTTTACAGACAGAGAGTCCAAATTTGTAATTGGGATTACTTGAATTGTGAGAAACGGAAAACGCAAACAACTTTGTGTAATTATCTGTTAAGTACGTTTTCTTTTGATGCTGACAAATGAATCACTTGTACATAGTGGCCATTTTGACTGGAAATTAAATAATTGAAGAGTGGTCTCTGCCTAATGCACAGAGACTGAGCTAAAGACTGAGCTAATAACTACCGAGACAAAGGTGCCTGCTGACAGTATTACAATCACACCGCCTTCCTTTTAATCTGTCTGCAGAACTGTTAGGTCATATTAGGACTTGATATTGAAGTTTATGTGAATGAATAACTAATGAATGATTTGACATTCACTAATAGAGTCCCAAAAACAAGATAGACAGTCTAAACTCAAGCTAACCTCCCGGGCTGTTAGCTATGGAAAAGCACACGCACACCATCATACACAAGACAGGTTTTTTGATCATATGTGACAGCTGCTTACTATTCCGCTTAAGTTTGTTAGTGAAGCCCTGACGCCTTCAACTCTGCTACAATGAATTTCGGCCCCCAGCTGATACACCAGCACACTCAGGAGCGTCACATTCTCTTATGTCCACATTTCTTTTTTACCTCTCTCTATCTCTCTCGCTTTTATTATTATCTCTTCCATACTCCCCTCCTCCACACCCCTCTACAGCAGCTGCTGTATCTACTGCTGCACCCCAGGTGTGTCCAATCCAAAAATGGAAATGAATATATATATATTTCTCACTTGGCTTTTGCCTCATCACATTACTTTGCGCGGGTCAGGGTGGGGCAGGGAGTGGAACTGACAGATACATATTTATGGATTTGCAACGCTGGGGGAAAAAAAAAATATTGCATAGCAGTCACAATTTATTTTGAAAGCACATTTCCGTGTGTAATTATGTGTGTAGTGGCAGACTGTTTGCCCTGCTAAACCTCAGATGTGTGTGTCTGTGTGTGTGTGTGTGTGCGCGCTCTGCAGAGCCTGCTGGAGAATGCTTAGCGCAGAGGATGAGGGTTTAATCCAGCGCCTGAAACGCAAACACATACACGCACACGCACGCCAATGTTACTATGGAAACCAGGAGAGGAAAATTAAGCCCTGCTGAGGACCGTCTGGAAGTCTTTTTTTAATCATTATTATTAGTATTATTTTGAAGAGACTTAAAAGAAAGGAAGAGAATGAGAAAAGAGAGACATCAAGCCAAGAAAATAGTGCACGGGAGATAGAAGGCAGAATTACTAGGAGAAGGAGAGAGGAGGGATGGAAGAGGACATTTTTTGCCATGGAACACATCAGCAGTGCTTTCCAGATAAAGTTTAGCATCATAAGCACCTTCATCTCGGCACAGAAAAGCAGCCGGCAAGCACTCATCATTTCACCCACTCACACGCTCACCAGCCCACTCACTCATTCTCACACTCGCCCACTCTCCCTCTCTCTCATATTCTCTCACTCTTGCTCACCTGCTGCCCCCACCTGAACCTGACCAGTGGTAGAAGCCAGCCTGAGAGCACACTACTAAAGAGGCTCTTAACAAGGCCATATTCACCATAAATCTCAGTGTAGGGGTGGTGTTTGGCTTTTTATCTCATGAAAGTACATGGAGAATCTGATCCTAGATCAACGCTCTCACTGAAAGATGCAGACATCGGCTGAAAGCAGCTTTCCAGTGGCAGGAAAAGCTCTATCTAAGAGGCATGAGGATGAAACACAGAGAGGGTGCGAGACTCAGGAGAACCCATGCTCCTCTGGACTGTACCAAATTATAATACTGGTCCAGATATTCACTCACTGGACACTTTATTAGGTACATTAATTTAATATGTAGATAATTTGTATCTACACTCATTGTCCATTTTGTCAGGTAGCACTTTGTAGTTCTGCAGTTACAGATTGTAGTCCATCTGTTTTTTCTGCATAATTTGTTAGCGATCTATCAGTGGTCAGATCCTCACAGAACCTCCACTGAGCAGGTATTTTTTGGATGGTGCACTGTTCTCAGCTCTGCAGTGACACTGACTTAGTATGATAGCGGATGTTACAGTGGTACAAGAGGTACAAGTTTTTAATTACTGTGCAGTTTACTGTCCACTCTATAGATGGACTACAATCAGTAATCATAGAACTACAAAGTGTACCTATGTGTTAAATGGAACTGATAAAATGGAAAATGAGTTTAGATACTGGGTAGATGTATCTAAAAAGTGGCCAGTGAATGTTTGATCATTTTCATGTACAGATATAAGCAAATATTGTAATATCCCTTGTCAAATTACTAATTTAAGTATGATTTTTTTCCTGCAATTTTTAGTGCACAATTTCTGTTTATTTGCTTGACTTTAATATATTGAAAAAAAATAAAATGTAAAATATTAAATGTGTAAAATTTTGCACAGGCCAAATTTTGTTTTTTAATGTTTTGGGAATTTTTCCAATATGATAAAATGAGTGAATAAAGAGTTATTGTGCATTAAAATGTGCAGACGAGTGTCCTCTGTAGAGGATATGTTAACTTATTTTCATTTAGAAAATCAACAATACATCTAATTTGACCAGGGCTGGACAAACCTTTGTATACAGCTGTACATGTCTATCAGTCCTGTTGCAGATGCTGATACATAAACATTTGTAAAACGTAGATATTGAGGCATCTACCTGGATTAGCATTACAGAGAAATATAACATACCGTACATTCATCCGTGCATGAAGTACTATGCGTTTATTCTTCTGTGTGTGTTTCCACAGAGAGGCAGAACCCTGCTCTACTGCCCTGGAGAGCACTGAGTGTGTGGAAACAGGCTCCGGCAGTGAGTCGGGGTACGTGCAGGCACTGGACTCTGGAGGAAACCCACTGTGCCTGTCCTGCCAGAAGCCCAGCGCTGATCACTCAGGCTGGGCTGGGGGCTTCTGCAGTGCTGCCTGCATGGAGGAGTTCCAGCTGCGCTCTAATCAGAGCTACATGCGCGCCCGTGTGCTGGAGGCTGAGGAGGGTGTGTGTCAGCACTGTGGCCTCCACGCCCACCAGCTGTACCTGCGCGTCCGCGACGCCCCACACACACATCGCAAAGAGATACTGGACAACACCTGGCTGGCACAGCTGCCTATCAAACAGGTGCGACACACACTCACGTGTAGAACAGACATACTGGACAACAACAGCTGGCTGGCACAACTACCTCTGAAACAGGAGGGATATACACTAGCTGTCAAAAGTTTGGGGATATCTAAGCAGGTTTATTTTGAGGAAAGCAGTATCACACGTGTAAATATATGTGGTGAGTATTTGAGTATTTGTGCCAGTGCTATTTTGAAAATAATGACACACCCCACTGGGGCTAAACAGTTTAATAAGTGCTTTTAACAATAGTTTGAAAAAGAAAAACACTTTGATCAACATGACTCCAAAGTTATGAAATGTACCCAGAGTATTAGCAAATAGTTTTTTTTTATGCTAACAAAACCTTGACAGGTATTTTCAGATTATATCTAAAATTTAATTTTCAAAAGAAAGCATGGTAATTCCATACTTTTGACTGGCGATGTACATGCATGCACGAGTAGAGCAGAGACATTGAACAATAGCTGGCTAGCAAAACTTCCGAAGCGGTTGCGACTTGCACACACTCCTGAGGAGATTGATTCAAAGCCTTCAGCCTCAGGATGCCTCTTAATTTATCACACACAAACTATTAGAAATGGCACGATACCAATTTGTCTTTACTGATATTGAAACCCATCCCCTGATACCAATACTTTTTTCTTCATAAACTGCTACACTTTAAAATCACTGTTTTAATCGAAGTACTTTACTTAAGATGAGCATCTAAATGTAGGCTATCATTTATCAAACTACTCATTCTGTTACCCCACAGGAAGAAATACATAGCTAACAACATCACATCACACAATGTGAGTGAGTACTATTTCATGTTAGATTTGTTACAAGGTTGGATCAGATCCATTCTTTTTTTCCCTCCTATCAGTGGAGATCAGTGCCAGTACAGTACCAGTACAGTGTGCAGTATTTAGTGTGTCTAGCTTTTGCTTACATACCTCTAAAGTTCAGCCTTAGAAGCTGGTTGCATTTTCTGCTTCTCACAATCCAAGTAATCCCATTTACAAGTTAAACTCATCAGCTCTGCATCTCAGTTGTCCAGTTCTGGTGTTCTAGTGCAGTTTTTCCTTTTTTGGCCTCCCTTTCTCAGTAACGGCTTCCTGACAGCTGCACATCCTCTCAGACCCATAGTGTTGAGATGTCTTCTCACAGTGGAAGGATGAATAGAAACACTTGTTTTTTTTTGTTTTTTTTTGTCCGATATGAAGCGAGAGTGGAGCTTGATTTTCTCCTTTCTCTGTAAATTGAAATGCTAAAGTACTGTTTATCTGATTGTGATAGTTTTGGTGGTCTACCAGGTCTTGCAAAGTTGTTAGATATCCTGTTTTTTCAGGATTATTTTATGTCTAATGTCATCATAAAAACCCCTTTAGCCATTTTAGATGCACTAGAGAAAGAAATTTCAAGACAGCTAAGGTGTGTTGGGTGGTTGCTTGTGTGAACAACAGTGTCTGTTTGAAGGGAAACAATGTCAGTGAAAGGTTTGGGAACAGCTATCTTGTTTGTTTTAGGACTGGAAGGATGGAAGGATGGTGCACAAAAGAGTAAAGAGTGGACATACTGATAAACACTGAGAGATTTGATATACTTTGTGTGGCAGAATTTCCTGTTAAAAATAGGTTTTCCGTTAGTACTGAAAGATGAACAACTTGTACTTAATGGCTGTTTTGACTTGAAATTAAAGAAGCAGAGGGGTTGTCTCTGACTTTTTACAGTACTAAATATTATAAATTGTAACTATTTTTTACAATCTACCTTTACAATATACTAGAAGGTCTTGTTTTTAATAATTAAAAGCAACCAGATGATTAACACCTTGTTTACCTGTAAAAGCTGCTTCATCAGTAGAACCTAAATACATTGTCAGAGAAGTACAAGACTAGTAACACCTCTAAAATGCAATATAACAAAATATTACCTGTCTGAGAGGTGAAACTTCTGTTCAGCACTAATATACAGAATCTGAGGGGTGTCCCTGGGGGGTGTGGTGTTAACAGACTGCCTGGTCTGTCAGATTGGCATTGATTTTTTTTCCCACAGTGCACTGCTGCAAGATGGAGGTTTGATTTTTGTTTGACATTTCTAGCCGAGCTGCCGGCAGCGGCAGCGGCAGCGGCGGCTTCAGATCAATGAGAGGCTTTCTACTCTAACTGGCCCTCAGTACAAAAGCCCAGCTCATATCACACACACTGCTGCTTACACTGTACGGAGGAATTAATGTAGAAGTATTGAGACCTGGAAAGGTGTGTAGGTGTGTGTGTGTGGGGGGTTGTGAGAGAGAGAGAGGGAGTGTGAGTGTGTTGAGCTCATGAGGAGAAATAAGGTGTAGGTGGGTGTTGAAGGGAAGGTATTGGCAGCCTAACAGAGCAAGTATGTGTTTGTGTGTGGTGATATTGGCAGTCCAGAGCAGTGTTTGCTTTTAACTCTTTGTGAGGACCTGATGATGGGAAAAGAAGTTTTTTTCCAAAGTAAGGACATTTTTCTATTCCTTGTGAGAAAAGCTTTTTGAGGATATAGTACTGGTGCTATAATAGTTCTAGTTGTTGCACAAAGATAAAACCTACATAAAATACTTCACAGTTTTATTAGTATCTCTATAAATGGAACAAATTGTCATAAATAAATTTCATAAATCAATACAAAATATTTAATTTAAAAATGTTACCTTTTTATTGTTTTTATGGATTTATTGAATTTATGGATTTTATAAGTAAAACATGGAACATAAAACACATTCCACCCATCCCCACCCTAAACATACTCCAGTAGTATACAACCCAAAAACCAACACCAGAGACTTGACCAGTAGAGCTGAAATATGGACGTGAGAACAGCATAAACTAATCATACATGCATTCAAAAGAAGAATGAATGAATTAATGAATAAATAAAAATGAATTATTATTTAAATTATTAATTAAAAAAAAAAAGGTTACCTAACAAACTACATGTGCGATTTTTAATTTATTTAGTTAATTCTAAAAACTGAAGAAGCTAGTAAAGGCCAATCTGCGCAGCAGACTTAACTTTGAGTCCAGAGGCATCTTTGCAATGATATTTTTTTCAACATTCGAAAAATCTTATGTCGTTGCGGGCTTTATGTGATATTACAGCTCCATAATAAACAACTTTCGAACATTTTGTAAATTGCGACGGCCTTTATTTACAGACGTTTGTTTTCATTCTGTAATGTTTGACCTGATAGAGTACCATTACTAACTACAACACCAGAACTTAAGCTGGGTTGCTGTTCACATGACTACGCTTGAGAAAATGGCTTGGGCCGTGGCGAAATGTTTGATACAGCACATACTATGTAGTTAGAAAAGCCCACGAATAATTGACTATGAATAGTCTACTACAACTTCCATGAGCACTTGAACTTGACACAGCATTTGAATGGAGGTACATGCAAAGGTCTATCTATAATCTGTCCACACTGTAATCATGCTACAATATTGTTGCACTGTCTAGATCTGAGTGTAGGCATAGCACCATTAGCTGATAGCATACTCAGCTACAGTATTGCCAATGTCAGTGGAAGTACTTACAAACATAGTAATACCAACATGTGTATCTGTGCGAGAGGGGACTTATTAAGTGCCCACAGTGTGTGTATTGAAGGGCTTGGCCTGTGCGTGTGTGTATCGACCGAGGTCATGAAGGGAAACTCCCCCTCTTGTATTAAGTGGTTATCGTCCTCTGTGGGCTCCCGGAGCTCTGTGGAGATTGGGGATAATTATGGGATGGTGCTGTTTTTGTCTTTGGGAAGAAGGTGGATTGATTTCCGCGTCGTAGCTTCCCCTGAGGCTCAGAGCCTAAAACGGCCTCCGCAAGCTGAAATGCCAGCGCTTTGGTTCAGCTTTCAGTTCAGCTCTCGCAGGACCCCTCACTCTTCAGTCTTTACTCTCCCTCACACACACACTCACATTCTCAGTCTTTCCCACTCAAGCTAAAGCTCTTCTGAAGCTGCCATAGTCCCTCACCGCTGCTCAGCGAGCCAAAACAGCCTAGAGAGCAATTTGGAAAGGAGAACTACATTACCCAGAATCCCCTGGGGCTCAGCAGTTGCAGGCCGTCTAATGATTTCTCCTGTTTCTTTTCACAGCAGCAGGGAAACGGCAAACCACGGCTTTGCAAACACACAGGCACACAAACATTATTTTGCTGTGCTTTTGAGGAGCTGTGTATATTACAGCAAGTGCTGAGCCATATATTGTCTGGACCGGTATACTTGTATAGGTGTCACACAGAGATAGCAAAACGATGTTGATAGACACTTGGTTATTAAAACTCGGTTAACAGTAATATGTCCATGTATGTGCTGGATGCTTCCAAATGAAAAGTTCGTCCAACGTTACTTCTGAAATCAAGGGTATTAATATGTTTTATTAATAAGTTTGTCCCTCATTTGCTGCAGTAAAAGCTTCTACTATTCTACAGAGGCTTTACACTAGATGTTGGAACATTGCTCTGATTGCATTCAGATGAATTAGCATTAGTGAGGTCAGGTACACCACACTTATCCCAGATTGCGGCAGTGTGGGAAATACCCCCTGGCATTCAGGGGGTCCCTTGTAGGCTGGCCGCTCCAGCATGGCTGGCTGCTAACTCACTCACCATAGTAGCGCCGGCGCTGATGCGAGCTTCAATGGTAACAAAATGTTCGGTTTACAATTCTTCTTTTCTAGTTTAACACATTAATTGAGATCTTACACATCTCCTTTTTTCTATTTGGTTTGAGAAATGAATAACAATTCACTCTTTCCACTACCCTTTGGCAAGTTTTCAGAGTTACAAACATGCTAGGGACACGGTAAAGGTTTTCAGAGGCATAGTTATGGTTGCTAGCCTATGAAGGACCAGCTAGGTGAACCCATTTGCTACAGCACCACCCTAAGGCAGACCAGTGCTGCATCTCTAGTTAGTTAAGAATAATAAAGACAGAAGCTTGCTGACGGTGGGTGAACATATAACGTCATACTGTGATATATTTGGACTCTGACCAAGACTCTTACCATAACCTCATTAATAGGCAATATCTAACTGTAACAGTAAGTAACCCGAAAGAGAAAACATCCTTAAGTTGTTTTTGAGGGGAAGTGGGCATGTCCCTTCAAGATCAGTGAGATTTTACAATCTATTGAGTCCCCTTAAGGAATAAAAACATGCATTCTCACACACAAACACACCAGTTATACACTGCCAATATTCTGCTAGCATGAAAGATTGAAGTGTGAAATCAGTTTGGATGAAAAAAGCGGCTGCAGAGTCACTGGCACTTTTAATAACGAGGCACAGACTATGGCCATCTGTTCTTGGCTTTAGAGTAGAGAAATGCATCCTCTAGGTCTGCATCCCTTATGGTAGCCTTTCTGTCTTCTTAACTAGTGCACCTTTAAACTGTGTGTGTGTTTGTGTGTGTGTTTTGTGTTGTAGCTGAACGAGATGATTCGTAACCCAGTGGAAGGCCAGTTCTGGCAGGTGGACCACATCAAGCCTGTCTACGGCGGAGGAGGCCAGTGTCTACTGGACAACCTGCAAACGCTCTGTACCATCTGTCACCGCATGGTAAAGAAGCTTTCAGCTGTCTACACACTACACTACTGTTTGCACACTGGTATGTTTCTGTAGCATATTTTACTCCAGGGAGGTGTTTCACAAGGCAAGATTTCTTAGTTAGCCCTGTCCAACAGAAGTGTCCCTTAACTATTCTCTTATTGGACAGACTTGACTTTTGGCTTAAGTCATCTGGCTGACAGAGAAATACTGCTTTGTGAAATACCCTCACATTTTACTGCAAGTGCTCCTGCTTTACTCAGATTATCGAATGCAAAATTAGCATCTGGACATTTTTCAAGTATACTGTAACATAACCTGTTGTCATACTGGTCCCACCCCCCCACTCTTGACTCCTCATGTGAGATGTTGACGTGTAACTGATGTCTTTTATTGCAGAGGACTGCACAGCAGGCCAAAGAGAGGAGTCAGATGAAGAAAGGACAAGCTGCTTCTAAACTGGCATCTGACATCACCCGATTTTTCATGAAGAAATAACTGCTTTTGTCAGGTTTTACTCATGTTTCAGTTCATTAATGAATGCAGAAGTTAGAAAAGAGATTCAGATCTGTGATAGCTTTGAAAACTCTGAATGTAATTGACACTGATACTGCTGCCACAGCAGTGACGGGTCCACACAGTATGTGGCTCTGTGTGAAAGCAAGCATTTTCTTGCTTTAAATGCGAAATGGTGAGCTGGCAGATGCTTGTGTGGAGCTGTGGTCAAGATGCTCACGGCACACAGTAAAAAATTGGGCCCCACTTTATTTAGATAGCCCACAATCTATAGACAGTAGTCTATTCAAATTAACCAGGGTACCAGGGTTAGATTTAGGACCAGGGTTAGGGTTAAATATATAGTTGAACTTAGTTAAATACAAGATAAACATCTACAGCGGACTATCTAAATAAAGTGTTACCAAAAATTGTGATTGGTTAAAGGGCTTATTTGCATATCGCACAGCTGTATGCGATATCAGTATTGCAAAGGCCAGTATCACGATAATGATTAACAAGCATTGTATTACACTCTACACTCTTTAAGATGGTTCTTCAAGGGTTTTTAGTAAAGACAGTGGTTCTCTACAGAACCATGAACACTAAAGAGCTGTTTGCTGCTTAAAAGGTTTTTTTCTTCATGAAATGGTTGTTCAGATTGTCTTTACTAAAGAACCCTTGAGCAACCATCATTTTTAAGAGTGTAGCTTACAGCAGCAGAGGTAGCCAGTGCAGTGCCCAAAGGCAAATGTGGACATTTCAAAATAAAGTATTCTTATAGTTAATTCTTGACCAGTGTTGGAACTATTCTTTAAAGTCCAGACTCTAGTTCTGGTGCTATTCGACTTCCACAACTAGATTTCTACTATTGCTGTTGACATTTGTGTAGCTCTATTTGGGAGAGTTGGGTTTTGGGGCTGCAGCACAGGAAAAGTGAGGGAAGGAGGGAAGGAGGCAGAAAGAGAGTTAGCAGAGCACAGCAGCAGGTGTGAGAGAACTGGCTGTTCCCAGAGTGACCGGCGTGGTCTCAGTCTGGTACTGCTGAGTTGGTTCTACTGAATGATAAAGCTTATCTTCAGAGAAAGAGTGAGATAGAGGGAGAGAAAAGAGCCTCGGCTTTCTTCTTTGGTGTTATTTTTAACGTGTGCAGGCTTTCGTAGTGCCAAGGTACGCCTTAGCGTCGTCGTGTTTACTTTCTCCTCATACCGCCTGTGATGATCATGATAGCGTGGTGGAACTTGACAGAACATAAAAAAAGGAAAAAAAAGACTGTAGAAAGTCTTTGCCTGTCCCTTTGTGTGTATGTGTGTGCATGTGAGAGAATGTTCAAGACTGTGTGCTTCACCAACAAAGTACATATATACATGATAAAAAAAATGTGCACAAGTGTTCAATTTCTGCATGAATCACTACCTGGTGTTTTTGTTATTATTATTATTATTATTATTATTATTATTATTATTGAAAAAGTCCTGCTGAAAAACTTGTGCCTTATTTGAATCCATCTCAGTTCCTTACGTAAACTCGACAAATGCCATGGGGACACGTACAGCCTGTCGCCATAGCAACAGGCTCCGATGATAGGCACCCATGTGGATAGAGGCTTTTTTTTTTTTTCCTTTTTTCATAAACCAACTGCATTTCTGTTTATAGAAATTCTACGAGACAAGTTAGCAACTTTAATTCATCCTTCTGAACCTCCTGCTGCATACAATGCTGCATCAATTGAATCGCATTCACACAGTGGAAATTTCCAGGAAAAGAAAATGGATGAGAATGTCTGGTCCACATGCCTTTGTACCTGTGTAATCAAAATCAGCTTTGTGATTAATAAAAGACTGCTATGTGAACAAATGTTTTTGGGACAGTAGCTGGGTACAGAACTTACTATCTAAAGATTAATAAAGGAACATTAAGCCGAGTGAAAGTACCTCCCTCTGTCTCTCTTTCTCTGCAGTAAATTCAGCACAGTGCTTCTCTTTTTTCCTCGTGCTGCATGTCCAGACTGGTCAGCACTGTTTTAAAAGCCTTGAATGGGTTACAGAAAGCACTGTGATGGTGCATTCAAATTTCTGTATAAACTAAGATAAGAGGCAGGTCTGGCGTAAAATAATATGGTCATGTAGCAATATTACTGTAGTTGTAAGCAATATGTATCTTGTACTACTGTACTACATTACAATAATCATGTTGGTTAAATTACATTTGAGGCAGATGCTTAGCTTCAAAATAATTATGTCCACATCATAAGCTAGGTGTGGACAAAATATCCAGATAAAGTGTGATAAAAGGCCTGAAAAGGTTGCTTCTGTGACTTAGGGCTAGTTAAAGCCCTAAGCCTTGACACAGATTAAGCCCTCTATATTAACTGGCCTTTTGTGATTCATTCGCACACCACTACTTTTCTGGCAGTTTGAGTTCACAAGTCATCCTTTTAGAAGAGCAGACCGTGCCGTGATGTATTACCCAGACTGGTCAGCTTCTCCGAGGATGCTGGGATGCTCGCCTCACTGCCATTAACGTAAAGGTCAAAGAAATGGATGTGTCTTCATGCTCCGTCTTTTTTTTTACCTGGTATCCATGAACGGAGACACTACCTCAGCTGCTTTAGACTGGAGATGACTAAAGCATGTCTGAGTTTTCTTTTGTCCTCCTTTCACTCTCCAGTCTATGCTGGAATAAGTATTACAAGCATCTCATATACCAAAGGCATTGAAAAGCCAGACTGTGCTTTTGTATCTGCCTGTAGACACCAGAATTCACCAAATCAGGTGTGCCTGGAAAGGTCACATGACCAGTTGTCAGTCATTCTTCTATCTCCTAAAATTATTAACAAAATCTTCCCCTGTGTTACTTGTGTGGCTTAAAGATTTCCCAGTTTAAATGACTGAACTGTTCTGAGGTATTAACTGCCCAATGTTTATTTTGTACCATGTTGACTTGTGTAACGTGACAAATATGTGCATGTTTTCTAAAAATGATTTAATCTTCCACAGAGAGATACCGAAAAGCGGTTTATGGGTGAGTGTAGCTCGAAGAAGCTTGCAGAGGCCATAACATGCATATATCTAAAAATCTCAACTACAAAATGCAAAATGCAAATCTGCTTTGTTGCATGTTAAGCTAACGCTGATTGCCTAACCAGTCACGCTGGGGGTGGGGCGAGGCCCAGACAGCAGTGACCCCGAAGCAGAGCTAGCACCAAATCAAAATGGAGCAGTTCGAGCATCGGTCTAAAGAAGAAGTGCAATGTTACACACAGTTATATGACCACCTTCAAAAAAATTACAAAAACTGAGTATTCATTCTTGGACAAAGAAGGCAAAAATACATTCCTCAAAAAATACAATTCCTCCTCATTTTCGGTTCTGGTTTGGACACTGCCCCCTAGTGACATCAGTGGCTTAGAAGGCAGGGTTTGCCGGAATACAAGTGGGGGAAAATCACCACGCAATTACGTTGGCAGGCTTTGATACGAACATCTGAGCACAATGCCTGCACGTTTGTAAAGATGCAAACGCAGATGTGTAATTCGGCCTTCCAAACAAGCCTGCATTGTTTTGTTTCACTTTGTCTTGTCTTCTTTTGGTGAGTACCACCTCATAGTAGTATTGGCTACTAGCATCTCATGTTATGAATTAGATTTGGCTCACAAGCAGTTGCTGACAGCCAATCCTAGTGCAGAAGTTTGAACTGCTAACCAATCATAGTGTAGGATTACAAACTACTAGCCGATCATAATGCAAATTACTAAACAGTTATAACACAGAAATAAGAACTGCTAGCCAATCCTAGCACAGGAATACAATCTACCAGTCAAGTAAAGTGTAAAACTAGTAGCCAATTGGAGCCCAGAAGGCAGTGTTTGCCAGAATACAGGTGGGGGAAAATCCCATGCTGTTCCAGGCCCGCTGGTGAGTAATGAACATGTCAAACCCGCAGGCTGGTGACGAGCCCTCTCTGTCCCTGTCAAACCCGGCTGAGCCACCGTGGCTCCGCTTTATTATGGGGGGAAAAAGGGTCCACAACGACTTTAATAACATGGAGACAGACTGATATTGAGCAGGGCATCAGGACAGATTCAAATGACTTTTTTTGTTGTTTAGGAGAGGAGGGGAAACAATAACATGGGCAGAGGTAATAAAGGAGCGGACATGAGCACAAGAAACTTTTGCTTGTCACAGTCAAGGCCAAGACAACCTTTATGCTATCCCTCTCCTCACTGACCTCTCATATGTCCAAGTTTCAGGACAAATTTTTCATCACTGCAACCTCCTCCAATAAGCTGCCCTGCTAATAGTGCTTTGATCAATAAGAGGAAATCATTTTATGTTCAGCGTTAGTCACTTTATGGTTGAAGTATGCCCAATTTTATGTACTGAAGTTGAGGTCTGTTGCTTTGGTTGTCGTGAAATGTGACATCACTGACACCACACCCTTAGCAACAGCGTTGTTATATCTGCCAACAGCAACTAATTTGAGAGCCTTCAGCTTTTTTATTAACAAAATATTAATGAACAAGTGATTAAGATGAAAATGCATTTGTTGGCTTTCTATTTTATGCTTTCTGTGCATAAGAATTCAGCAAAATGCAAGAATCTGTTTTTGTAAGACCTCAACCCCAACTTCCTACTTGGCAGGGTCTCAAGGTTGATAAGCATGTCTATCCTTCTGCTTTCAGCAAAAGCATGATGCCTTTCATGCCTTTGTTCATGCCTGCACTTTCAGTGATGTTGAATCAGTGGCTGATGACTTTCCCACATGCTGCATAACCCGGCAGTAGTCTTTCTCCTTCAGTTTTCCTGCTGATCAGTGGAAATGCAGTGCTTGACCCTGAAGATCAGTTGTGTTTCCTTCTGCGACCACGGAATGTAAACGTCCCTCGGTGATGTTAGATATTGCCACTGGCTTTTGAGGTGGCTCTATGTATATAGCGTAAAACCACACTGTTGCTTGGAAGCTTGAATTGCATGCCAATATGTCTGCCAAAGGAAACAGCCCTAGTCCACATTATCTTTAAAGACATCAATCATAATCCCCTAGCCTGGATGAGGCCGTGCTTATAAACGGGTGGCATTTATTAAAGGCATTGCATTAAGTGCTGCAGACCCCCTTCTCTTCCACACTCACTGTGCACATGGCTGGATCACCTGTAGACTTGGACATTTCCCATAGTTCCTTTTAGAAGTGATCTCTAAGAAGGCTCTGCCCTCCACAGAGAAAACCTGGAAGAGTTATAGGCTGTAGAGTTAAAATAAGTCTTTCAGAAATATGCCTCATCAGTCCACAGAGCTACTGTTTGCTGTCTCAAACTTAAAATGTGAACATATATATGTATTATTTACCACTTAAAATTAATTTCAAATGACACTTCAAATGAAACGTATGACCAATTTTAATATTGCTGCCCTTTTACATTTACAAATACAGTGGGTACCACCAGATATCAAAGCTACAGTCTAGGTCCTGGGGTTTTGAGACTTCTCTGGTGGAAATGTGGAAATGCATGCTGTTGCATCGATTGTGCTTTGGAGCCCTTCCCCGAGCAGATGAATCCGATGCTTGCGAGCGCATTAAAAGACTATTCAAAGCAAACTCAGTCAAAACTTGGTGAACAACCTGTTTT